CAATGTTTGTCACTGAAAGGAGTACCAAAGAAGTACATTAACCTCATAAAGGCTCTCTACTCGAACACAACTGGTCGAGTTAGAGCCTATGGCGAACTGTCGTCAGAACTGATTACCACAAGTGGCGTTCGTCAGGGCTGTCCACTGTCCCCATTCTTGTTTAACTTTGTCATTGACATACTTTTAGAGATAGCACTTTCATCAGCTAAACCTCCAGGAGTTGAACTTTTACCAGGAGGCTCACTTGTTGACTTAGAATACGCCGACGACATAGTTTTACTCGGTGAAGACGCTGACAACATGCAGAGTCTTCTGACCACTATAAGCAACTATGCAGGCATGTTCGGAATGCGATTCTCTCCCTCGAAGTGCAAAATGTTACTTCAGGATTGGGTTGCAGCGACACCTGAACTAATGATAGGGAGTGAAGTAGTTGAGCGTGTAGACCACTTCACTTATCTTGGGAGTCTCATCAGCCCTTGTGGTCTGATATGTGACGAAATCTCAGCACGGATACAGAAGGCTCGTCTAGCTTTCGCCAACTTGCGTCATTTATGGCGTAGGCGAGATATCCGTCTAGCAACCAAAGGACGGGTTTACTGTGCAGCAATTCGCTCCGTCCTACTTTATGGCAGTGAAACATGGCCAATAAGAGTAGAGGATATTCGTAGGCTACTAGTGTTCGATCATAGGTGTCTTCGAAGCATTGATCGTATATCCTGGGACCACCGGGTAAGTAATGCAGTTGTTAGGAAACGAGTGCTAGGTAGGGATGGCAAATCGATTGATGAAGTAGTGAAACTTCATCAGTTGAGATGGCTGGGACATGTGTTACGTATGCCCGACCACCGACTGCCCCGACGTGCAATGTTTCATGGTGTAGGAGTAGGTTGGAGGAAAGCTAGGGGTGGCCAGACCAAAACGTGGCACAAATCAATGAAGTCACTGACAAGTGGACTGGGCCATGTTGGTAGGTGTAGACTACCTGGTTGGGATTCGCGAGATGACAGCAACCGATGGTTAGAGACCTTGAATGACATGGCTCAAAATCGTTTGCAATGGCGAAGATGCATCCACTCTTTGTGTTCTACCAAATTCTAATCTTCTGAATTCCTCATGTCTTTATGTTTTTCTCTTTCCAAATTTATTTCACTGTACTATACTCCTTCAATAATTTCTTCAAACCCTAATCTTTTGGATTTCTGATTATACTCCTACTACTTCTACCACTATGGGATTTGAATCGACAACTGCATCTCTGTGCTAATGTGGTTTGGCAACTCGAACTGATGTACGTACGTACGAAGTTCTACGTTGTGACTGACTGACTGATTAGACCTTACGTAACATGTTTAGTAGTCTATTTATGTCATTTTCCATGCATCCGTCCTACTAACTACTAACCATTCATTTCACGGACAACAAAAATCTATGTGTACATCCAATTTCAATGACTATTCACATTCACATTATCTACTTGCAATAATTGACTGATTGTGGAATCCACCCTAGTCACAAGTATATTCACCGAAGATCTGTTGTAGTGAATAATGAAACTCTCTCACTTATCAAATCACAATAGATACTAGGATGTAATCTTCTTGATTCTATTGACTATTTCCCTCTATTATACATTTATTACAATAGATTGTCAGCTTCGTCTTCAGAACAATGACGTGTGAGTGAATTTTTTCATTAGTATACACAATTATGTGTTTTAAAAATCTGAGTGTTGAAATATTGATTAGAATAGCTGCTGAGTTTCAAAATAGATTGACAAACAGTTCCATCGTCTTATCTGCAAAACTGTGCGCATTACTCGTCAACCTGAAGAAGTAACTCAAAAGCGGAACATAGTAACAGAGCCGGTGCAACTGTTTGAGAGACAATCTCAGACATGGATTCGAATAATATGATTGGATGGTCACTTCTCCTTAATGTTGGCTAACGTCATCACCGTGTGTGAAGACTAAATGTAAAAGAGAAGCGGAGTTTTTTAAGTTATATCCTGTGGGATTTCCAGTGTGTTTGAATAAATCGAATCCAATCACGGTTTCCAAAAGTTTGCGATCAAATGACGTTATCGATGACCCTACTTCTAAGGTAACCCTGTTTATTTACGGTGCACGAAAGTCGCCTGCTACAAGACCTTCACCCTTAGCAAACCAGGACTTAAGTTTCCTTAGAATGAAACCATCTACTACACATTCTGGACTGCGATATACTACAACTAATTTAATATCTTGCCATCTACATTTCAGCCTGCGACGCATCAGTTCACATGTCCCTTAAATAAATGCCACTGCTTAAACAGCTCGTATGGTCAAGGTACTTTTCATGCATAGGATGACTCCGCCTTCCGTACGGTTTGACCTATCAGCCCTACTGGATAAAATACCAGTCAACTGAGTATCGCTATCTTAAACTTCTGACGTTAAACAAGTTTCTGAGACAGCAATAACATCCATTTTTTTATCCACCATTGACTTGATCTCCGCGATTTTATTAAGTTGGCTGAAACCATTTATGCAGCATACTTTCATTTCCGTGGAGAGCTTTCGCTTACCACACGGAGTGCTTCAGGAATCCTTTCGCTCCGACTTACTGCAATTTAAAACCCTTAGGAACTAGGTTTCTTTCAACGTTTCCACAGCGCTCGTTTATTTCCACTTTTGATGCTCGTCTCTTAATAAGATCAGCCAGGCTGAGGTCCTCACGGACGTATATTCCAGATGCCATCAGTTTACATGAGTTACTTAGAATCAAGTTCCTTTCTTCAACCGTGGCAAGTGGGATCTTCAAGTGACGGCTTTTCTTAGGACTTTCAATTCAGCATGTTATATATTTCGTTCACTTGGAAGCAGGTGCGATCTGAAACAACAACACAACAGTCAGTACCGGTAAATATCTCTGGAGTAAGAACGCAGTGTACTTTGCTGACACAGATGTATTAACCTTGTCAACTCCTTGATCTTTAGTTTTAAAATTATTTTGCACATTATTCCGTGAATATGGCGAGACTAAAGAACATGGACGACCTTTGAACGAATCTTAAATCACCTTGAGAAATATTAGCCAATCAGAAGACAGTTAGTGTATAGTAAAAATTTATTATACAAAACCAAAGAATTAAAGTGGATATTGTTCTTTTACATGTATAATCGGTATGATTGTTGGTGCCTGCCGGTTCCTGACTCTTTGTAAGTGTCCTTTCTGTATGTGAAGTATATTTATGGAAGAGGTACTTACCCAATCTTCTTTAATACAACGGCCACGGTTGTATTTGCGTTTCCTTACAACCGTTTCGTCTATTTCAACAATGTTCCCCACTCCTCCATACAATTGCTGTACGCTTGTCAGTTTTGCTGCACAAATATATCGGCAAAACTCGTACCATTGAACAGCCGAAACTTCGCTTAGATCGGCAAAGGTGGCAGCTAGTGTTACCGGTGCTTTTATTATCCAATTCGCAACAAGAAGCATAATTTGTCTCAACCTTAATTTTGACTGAGCAAAAAAAGTCTCTGTTCGAGCTGATTTCTTCTTCCAACATGAAGGACATTGAAAGATAATATCATCACGATAGTCTGCACACCGTACAATGGTCATTTGACTACCGCAGTCACAAGTATAGGAGCTTCTTAATAATCCCTTTTCTTGTAGTCGCTCAATCATCACGTCTTCTGGAAAATCCGCTGTAAAGCGATCGTACGTAAGCATGATGTTCCGAAATTACCGCCGTGACCTTGAAAACCCGCGAAAGCTTCTGATTGGCTCGTCTATGTTCTTTAGTCTCGCCGTTTTTATTCTCAAATTATATTCTCCCTCTTCAGCTACTCTTATTACTACTGACAATACCACTATGCTAATATTCATATCGTTAATTACGTCTTCCTATTCTGATCAGGTTTTGCAACTTGTGTCTGCCAGTTATACCCAGCTTAAAACCTGAGATAAATTGGGATTGGTTCAAGCGGACATGCCACATGTAGAAAGCTGGACAAAACTGACAAGAAAAATTCCAGGATAATAAAAGTACGAAACGCATCAGCATTGATAAAAAAGTTAGATGTACATAGAATTATTTGAGGAAATAAATGCAAATAAGTGTTACGAACTCTCAAATTACGACGACTCAGCTATTGTTATTGCTTAGTATTCTCCGGAAACTAATCCGCTGAACACGTGCACAAATCAGGACAGGGTTTAACAGTAATGTAATTATTATTCTAAGTAAACAGTGTTGAATGGAAGCAGGAATCACAATAAGAGAGATGTTTGCATATTTATAATTTCTTTACAAGGATATTTTCGAGTCTTCTCCGAGTATTCGGCAGCGTTTGTTGTCTACGAAACGGGCAATTCATGTGCTTCAACACAGTCCTACACTGATGCAATCTATGTCGCGCTAATAAAAAGAAACATAACACGTATTTAAAATTCTATTGCTCATCTATTTTGTTATTTATTGTCTTATCCATTTTAATTTATTCGACTTTATACTGTACTTTCATGTATATTGCTAGTTGATACTATGATTACCGGAAGTAATTACCTAGTTCCAAACAAGTACAGTTAAATGTAAACAAACTTTTCCATGTTACTTATAGAAATACTTTTTTTCTAATTAATAAGTAATTTATAAAACGAGAATAATCCTGTAAATTTACTGCCTACAGTTGACAAAATCTACTCAAAATGTTTCAATATTAAAACACTCATAGTTATTATTAGTGTGGGGTTGTGGAGACTGTTAAGTTTTTGATTGAGATCATGGATCAATGAATATCAAACCATCATTGAAAACCTGTAGGCACTTGACGACTGTTTCTTCCTGGTGTGAGACTACTCAGTGGCGCGCATCTACGAAACCGCAAACGGGATTCGAATTCAAGGCCTTCGATTTCGCTCAAGAACTCTCAACCTCTATACCACTGGGCTGCGAAACTTTCATGCAGTTAGTTCCCTTTATGAATTTGAATAAAGACAGAACAAATATTGATGCAGAATAATATGAATTCATTATATTTCGTGGTTTCTCATCAGCTACTTACAACCAAATATGTATTACAATTGACCTAAGTGAATGCAAGGGATCGGAATGACAAAACGTTATCAATCATAACTATATACATATATGTGGAAGAAAAAGCAAGAGGTTATTTGGTGTTAGAATCATGGAAGCATAAAGGATGGGTGGTGTGATAGTTGAGTGGAGTTCGGAGGCATATAAGATAGATTGTGTTATAATTTTATATTAATGAAGGAGTCATGGAATTAAAAACAAATAGGATGGGCTACGCAATAATTGAATATAATTTGATATTTCACATAATTTAAGAGAGTCAAGTTAGCGGAAATGTGTGAGTGAATTTGGTAATAGCAGAGGACCATAGCACAAAATAAATAATAACCGAAATGAAACTAATAATCCAAAAAAACTCAAAAAAATTTGATTACCAGGGTAGTAATAAGTTCATTACCGTCTTTGTCTGCTAATAATTTTGAAAGCATGAGAGAGATTTCAATGGCATGCTCGGTGTCAAGTAAATGCCGATCTATTGCACTGTTGAGTGACCTGGTCGCTCGCAACCTCAATTTATTTGGAACATGCTCACGAATGCGAAAATTTACTATTACCTCAGTTCTTGCAATGTATGTGCTTTTTCACGTACATGTAAATTGGTAAATACAGTTGGAGCTACTGAGAAAAGAGGACTTGTCGATTTCAGTTAGTTTCCCACACCGTCGTCAGTTTAGCTGATGTATAGATCACATTCAAAGCGGAATTAATTTTGTGATTAATAATTCCAGTAATTTCATCTTCTTTGAAGCGTAAGTATAAGAAGCAAGTTTTCTTCTCCATTCTATCGCACTTTACCTGAGGGTTGATCTTTGCATATTTATGAATGAATTTCGCCGGATATGCTTTTTCACGTAGGCACCTAGAGATGAGAGCAGTTTCTTGCTCCAGGCATTCCTTTGAGTAGAAGTGCTCACTTTTTGTAACTCATTGGAGTAATTGAGATATAATGCAATGAATGAATGCGATGAATGTGTCTTTGTAATGTACCAACTAATATTCGTCTGATTCCGATATCTGGGAAGTGGAATTAACCTTCAATTTCATGTTCCACAGTAAATTCTATATCCCTGTGTGCTTTATTAAAGAGACTGAGTAGGTTCATGGAGTGTTTGTGTTTGTTGCAAGCAAGAAATGTGTCATCAGTATGTCTGCAATAGAGTGTGGTACCGTCGATTGCGTGCCTATGCTTCTTCTGTTCCAGGGTTCCCATAAGTATGACGGTTAGTATTCAGCCCAAAGCGCTACAAATGGCTACTCCATCAATTTTACGGTACAATAGGTTGTTGAATTTAAATTGTATGTTTTTGAACACAATAGCAGTAGCTGTTTAAATTCATGGATTGGTGAAGGCAGAAGTTCAGAATGTCGGTTTTGTGCATTTTGGACAGACCGCATAAGTATGGCAATTGTGATCCGTATGGTTTGAGTTCGTTGTATCTATTAGATTTTTCTTCATCAGTCTTCTCAACTTTTAAGAAGACGCTTCTCAGTAGCATCTGTTAAGTCTTTCTGGGTATGATCGATGATAAATCCTGTGGGATCATTCAAAATGGACATATCTTTACTGATGTATTCACCTCTGTTGAGAATGACTACAACAGAACCCTTGTCACAACGAAGTAGTGATGTTGTTTCGTCTTTAATGAGTTTCGTCAATGCTTTCTGGTGATATTTGGTCAATACCTTTGATTGTGGGATTCATCTCGTAAGTTACTGATTTGTAATATTCACTAATGTTGATAAGATATCAGAAAATCTTCTTCATACGAAGAGAAGTTGTAGTCGAATTGAAAGGATTCTCTATATACATAGTATCATGCAGTGAATTCGGAACACAACCAAATTAGCGAACTAAGGGTGAAAACAACAAACTAATTAACAGCATGGGACATTGGAAAAGTATGCATAAGGAAACTCTTATCTCGAGTATCCCTTAAATTATCATCCAATAATGAAATTTAGATATTCTGAGGTACTTTTATCAATAAAACATATGGTTGAACAAGTATAGTTTAACAGCAAGAGATACAGTTTAAGTAAGAATGTCATAATGAAAAACATTCAATTAAGAAGAAATCTCCCATGTTTGCAAAGCCAAACCGTAACAAAATAGTCACTGCATTCAATTATTATAGATATCTAATAATGTTTTACCATGTTTAAGAACTCAACACAGTAAATGTGACGGATTGATAAGTTCGCACTTTTCCGATTACCTATGTATAGATTACTATTTGCAGCCTCTTTGTTCCCATGTCATCATGGCTATTCTCTTCGTTAATGTAATATTACAAAGAAGCTCGTTTATACATTGTTATCTGAAATGATGATGTGTTCTCTAAACTATTTAGTGTAATTCTTAAGACGACGTAGTCTCTAAAGATGTTGTCCAGAACAAAAATAGATGAAAGCTCTATAGTTGAAAGATGAAGCTCAGAGAACACAGTACATGATTATAATGCATTTAGTGCACTGTCGTAAATAAAGATCTTCATAAATTTTACAACATTTAGTTACTCTTAATTTCCTGGGTCGATGTTGTGGTATGGCAATGTGGGCCGACGCATACGTTTCTTGACTGCTCCAACGTTGATTATGACTGACTATTTGCTCATTCATCACTGTACATCAACTTCATCGACTACGAGAAGGCATTTGATAGCGTGGACAGGACGACACTATGGAAGCTTCTTTGACACTACGGCGTGCCTGAGAAGATATTCAATATCATGCGGAACTCCTATGATGGACTAAACTGCCAAATCGTCCACGGAGGACAACTCACCGAGTCGTTTAAAGTAAAGACTGGTGTTAGGCAAGGTTGCTTACTCTCACCCTTTCTCTTTTTCTTGGTCATCGACTGGATCATGAAGACGCCAACGACTGGAGGAATGCACGGGATACAGTGGACAGGCAGGATGCAGCTTGATGATTTAGACTTCGCGGATGATCTGGCTCTTATATCACAAACGCAACAACAAATGCAGGAGAAAACGACCAGTGTAGCAGCAGCCTCGGCAGCAGTAGGTCTCAATATAAACAAAGAGAAAAGCAAGACTCTCCGATACAATATGCACCAATCAAATTACACTTGACGGAGAAGCTCTGGAGAATGTGGAAACCTTTACGTATCTGGGCAGCATCATTGATGAACACGGTGGATCAGATGCAGATGTGAGGGCGCGGATCGGCAAAGCAACAGCAGCATATTTACAACTGAAGAATATCTGGAACTAAAAACAATTGTCAACCAACACCAAAGTTAGAATTTTTAATACAAATGTCAAGACAGTTCTTCTGTATGGGGCGGAGACGTGTAGAACTACGAAAGCCATTATCCAGAAGATACAATTGTTTATTAACAGCTGTCTACGCAAGATACTTCGGAGCCGATGGCCAGACACTATCAGCAACAAGTTACTGTGGGATACAACAAACCAGATTCCAGTTGAGGAAGAAATCAGGAAGAAGCGCTGGAAGTGGATTGGGCACGCTTTGAGAAAATCACTTAATTGTGTCACAAGACAAGCCTTCACGTGGAATCCTGAAGGTCAAAGGAGAAGAGGAAGACCAAAGAACACACTACGCCAAGAAATTGAGACAGACATGAGAATAACGAACAAGAACTGGGTAAAACTAGAAAAGGAAGCCCAGGACAGAGTGGGTTGGAGAAAGCTGGTCGGCGGCCTATGCTCCATTGGGAGTAACAGGCGTAAGTAAGTAAGTATTTGCTCATTGTATTTTTTTGTCAAGTAAATTAGCTGAAAGCTTGTTACGATATTAGATATTTCCAGTAGTTGACTTCCTTTTAACAAGTTGTTTATTCATCGTTGTTCAGTCGTGTAGATTGTTTAAAGCCGGTGAAAAAGGCCGAAATCATATTTATTGTCGAAAGACTTAGTTTCAATTTTAGTGGAAAATCAGTTTATGCAACTTTACTATACGTTGCATGAATATTTGAAGGGATATGTCGGTGGGTTTGAAGAAATCACTTGTTTTTTGCTAATTTGCGTCAACCATGATGTAGAAAATGGGTCCGTCTACCTTTCAATGATCAAGAATGCTGCTCACCAACCTACTTTGTACTAATATATGATTATGAAAAATGACGTCATGAAGTGCAAGACTTATGTAGACTGAAAGTTTTTGATTATAATTGTCTTTGAAACATCGTTTACGTAAAGTCGAATAATCTATCAAGTACCGTTAATCTCCTATTATCTCAACATCTTACAAATGGCGTCGAGGTATCTAAACTATTGACCATATTTCAACTTAAGTTATAAGGTTCAGTCGGCACGAAGTGTTTAGATAAACATGTAATCGATTATCTTCAAGTTCTACCCGGTAGTCAGTGGTAACAATTTTGACTGTAAATCTGAGTAATGCACACTCAAATCTTACATGCAACACTCTTTCGAATTTACAAGTACACTTTACTAAGAAGTGCCAGTCGGCAAGTTACCTAGGTCCATAGTTCTCTGCAGACAATCCAACAAACCTTGAACAATAGAATCCATAATACATTGAGAAACTGGTTATAGTATTCTGTTTATATAAACGTAAATAATAGGCAAGCATAACTTGATATTATCGTACAAAAAGACAAGGAATTAACTCAATGTTATGAAAGAGAAAATTACAATAATATCATGCTTATTATCTGTGTACGTATGTAACGTATATAAAACAAAGAAGGAGTTATATATGAGAAAATCAGAGACATAAAATGTCACTTTGGTAATGCTTATAAACAAACTATAGAATGCAGTTTGCTGGAGATAACCTATATATGATATCCAGTTTATAGATTCTATGCACTAAGAAATATACAAGATGTGACGATGAGAAATTGGAATAAACGACAAGTGTGAATTGAGTACGTCATGTGTGTGTGTGCATGTAATAATACGAATCAATTGAACGGAAGTATGAAGAAGCAATGAAGGGGATATACAACGCTAAAGATTTATAGCTGAGTTGAATCCATTCAGTTGTCATATTCCATACAATGGATGGTTCGGTTGTAAAGAATATTCAAAGCTTCACAATTAACATAACCAGTTTAGAGAAGAGGACATCATTGAAGAGGAATACATGAATACACATACCTATACATAGGAATGGATGGAAATGATGTGAATTTGAAGAAAAGAGAAGACGAATAGAAATACTCTGTTACTGTTAGAAAAGTCAAATTATCAAGTCAAGTACATACTGGGAATTTATTTGCAGGGAAGGAAAGAGAGAGTGAGTGATTGTATTTTTGGAAGACACCTATAGTTCAATCAAAGATTTTTCAATCTGTTTAACAATATAACGAAATAAGTAATATGTATATAGGGTGTGTATCATCGAAAGAGACATATGTGGATAGGTTTTTAAAAAAATTATTATTGTCAATAGATGACATAGTTTCATTTGTGAACAGATAAATGGAATTCATCTATATTTGAATAGTACCATTTTCTGGGTTACTTTTAAGAATGAAGTTTAGATTTTTGATGAAAAAGGAAAATGTTGGACAAAGAAAGGAGTAATCTTGATGATCGATGCATTCAAACAAGATGTAGATGAATAATTCTAAGGGGATATAGGGAAAAAAGCAGTGGGATATCATCTCTTTTGTAACTTTTATCAACAATATTTTGTGGAGTTAACTGAATAGTTTTCGAATGAATCACTTCAGTTTATACCAATCATTAATCATTGACGACCAGAAAACATTGAATAGACAATTTTTTTCGTCGTAGTGAACGATACCTTCGAGATACACTACCACAGATTGAATGCAGGGATTTCAGGTTTTGCTGTGAAGTTTTAGATTTCTCTCGAATTATTTCAAGCGTTTTCAAGTATTATATAGCGTGAAAGTCTCCAGAATAGCATTCTGAAATGATAATGTAAGCTACAGAATTCGTCGTTTGGAAGAATTAACCACTACATATTGAATTATCACCATTATATCCGAATGTGCATTGCTGAAAGAAAACTATTCACGAGATTTTGCTATTGAATGTTAACATTCCTTCCAAGATAACTTCAATGGAACATAAATTAATCACTGAATATCCTCAGCTAAACAGAGTTGGGTTTTACAAGCATATAACATTGATAAATTGTAGAAGTCATTCGTAGAGTAAAGAAAAGTACCCATATTGATCAATGTCATCCAAAACTCATTCATTGAATATTTACAGTAGAAACTCAGAAAATGCTTCCATCAAATGAAAGTTCCTTTAAAGAAAACTGTGATACAAAAGTATCACAATGAATCTGTGAATGAATAAATGAAGGAGTTATTGTCGTTGTCAATTATTTACATATTGAACATTTCCATTGAAAGTCTTTGTTCTATACAAGAATCTTCATTGTCTTCCTTTTTTCTGAATCCTAAAATAGTTATTCAGAATCATCAGAACAACTAGGCAAATTCCAATCATCCATTTCACCGATTGAACGTATCGGTGCTTTCAAATTTAATATAGATGATGGTGTTGGCGGTAATGCCATACTACTGCGTCGAGGTATATGTTCATTATTGACAGTGTTTCTGAAATCCATGAGGTGTTGTTGTTGTTGAATCTATGGTAAAAATAAAAAACACCCAGAAAACGATTAGTTTTTATTAGGATGAGTAGACGAAGTTACAAGGGATTTTATTACAAATTACCAATTCACAAGTTCAATGTTCAGAAATAGTAGTGTATCCAAAATTGTTTATTATGTTTTAATGTTATATAACAGACAGGAGTTGATTTAATATTCAGACATTTGATTTCAGAACGTTAATTGCAAAATATCTATGCTGTTCACTTAGTAGGTTAGGCTATTCTACGTTGAACATGTTCTGAGCAGACGGCTGTGGATAACTGAAAATGGTTGGAATAAATTCTTCAGTGAACATTTCACTTCACTAATATGAAACACTAACTCAATATATGAAATATGACAGAATGTTTCGAAAACAGAATACCGTTTAAATGCTAAAAACGTACAAATTCGTTTAAGGTAACAAAATGCATGGTGTTGTCTATGTGTCAGACGTTTAGGAATTGAAATGTGGTGAAGAAATGTAACTCAATGAAGGATAATTATGATGCGTTTTTTCATTTGCATAGACGTTTTCGTTGTTTTTCTAGACAACATGATCAGTAATAGTAATTCCTTTCGAGTAGATGTATGTATACTGATTTTTCATAAATGACCCTTGAAACATAAGGGCCTCAATGATGTATGTATTATTCCTTGAAAATACAAGCCATTACTCAACCAGTCACATGCACTCATCGTTTGGTAATAGTCATAATAGCTCAATGTATCACGAACACGAAAAAGTGTCTGCCCATATTCCTGTTTCCTTTGGCCGTTCTCCCAGTCAGATCCTCGTCTACAGTTGCATTAAAATAGGTGACTGTAAGTGAAAATATATTATGACATTTACCAACTATCTTGTGTCTTGTTGGTATGATTCATAAAATTTCTCGCAATCGACATGACAAGCTCAGGAAACATTGAGAAGCATTTTATACAATCAGTGCTTGACAGGACGTTTTGCTAAAAACATCACGAAAATGAAAATTCACATGTAGAGTTTCTGATTGGCTGTTTACTACACTGCTACTATGTTTAGTAGCATTCCAGAATTTTCACGAAAACCCAACGACTTCTAAAATACTATAAAAATCCTATATTTTCTGTATTTTCTATGAACCTTTGCATTATTGTGCTTCTCGCATATTTTGCGCTTTTTCTCTCGTGTTCAAATCGCTGTGTAGTTCTACTTTAAAGGTAAAAGATTAGCTTAGGATTCGAATTTAGCATTCAATTAGAAAGACTTATCAGTCTATAGAGACAGAATGAAAAACAGTTCACTTTACTCAACGTTGCATATCTCTTAGTTGTTGGAATTTGTAAATAGTTATTTGCATTTTTTCTTTTGTCATTATGTATTTTGAATGAGATGGTACTAAGAAAACCTTCTAGGCTTTTTGGGCAATGTCATACGGACTTCATTCAGCCTAATATTCATCGTGCTTTTTACTGAAGTTCATAAGACTTGAAAATGAAACAATATGCATTAAACTACTTATTAATTTAATAAGTAACACAATTGTAAATATGAATATAAAAAGAAGTCGATCAAACGTTGACTTACCATTGTTGTCGGTGTTATCATTGGTGTTGGCAAATTAGTTCTAGGCAAATCTACCGTTTCATATAACGAATCCATTGAACCGAAATTTCTGTTACTATTATTATTACTATCAGTAGTATTAATTGCATGGTTTTTATTAAAATGTTCCATAGTATTAATATTATTATTATTAGACCATAAAGGTGGCAATGGTGGATGTGATTTGCATAATATTTGATGGTTAGGATTTCTTTTTTCCTCTTCTTGTAATGATGATTCCATTGATATTTCTTGATAATTTATATTACGATTTAAATCATAATAATGATTGCTGATCATTGCATCAGATAATGGACGTGAATCAGAATCACCTAAGAGAATGGTTATTTTTTAGAGAAAAACAGAAGGAAACAATAATGAGTAGCATTCACAATAAATGTTGAAGAGATCCACAGTATTCTTCGATAAAACTTGGAAGTAGCTTTAAAAATACTGATAAATATATGTGTCCAATCAGCGTTCAATAGAAGTGCCTCAAAAACATCTAGAAAGTGAAGGATCACCTGTCAAATTTCTGATTGGACGATTACATCTACTGTTACTATGTTTAGTAGGATAACAAGACAGTACAGAAGTACTAGTCCATCTGAAATGTTATTAGTACTCTCGATTTCCTGTACATTATGTAACTTTGGAGTAAAGCAAGCTTTTCACATCTTGAGACCTTTTCTCTCTCAAATAGTCGTGTAGATTGAGCCAGTGGTCATTGTAGAGGGTTGAATAAACAATTCAAGCTTTCAACTAGATGTTTTAACTCTTTTATCTCTTGTAGTCAGACATTTAAATTCCAACTATGGCCACCTACAACTTACATATTTCAGTAAGAGTGGTATACATCTTAGAACAAAATGATGATATATAAACAATACCCACTGGATAGATGAATAACTCAATTATTTAATAGTTTAACATGGTACATATCAAGCTATCGTTGCATAATTTTGTGTCACCCAAATACGTTCAGTGAGAAGGCGTTCACTGAAAGTAATAGGTTCGATAATTTGTTCTGACAAGTAGTCCTAAACTAGGACGAAACAGCTATTCACCCGTCTCTGATTATTATTATTTGTCTAATAGATTTTATAATCTGATGTGTTTATCAAACTATAGAACCCGTTGTTTTCTTTTTCTTTTTAGTGAATAACGATAATTACCTTTCATCGCATTAATTCTACGTTGTACTTCATGATCTGATGATAACATTGATGATACAACTGTTGATGTTCCAGCTACAAGTTTGTTATTTGAATTCAACGGAATACAGTTAGAATCAATTGAATATGGTCGTTGTCCAGTGGTTGTATTCGATGAAAATCGATTATTTTTCTTATCATATGAACGTATTTCATCATAAGTTACATAATCGATAGTTGTTGGATGTTTCACTCGAGGTAGAGGAACAATGTCATCTGCGTTGGAAACAATTGATGTAGCAGTAGGGATAGAAAGATTAGTTGTAGTAATAGTAGTAGGGGTGATAAAACCATTGGTAATAACTTTTGTAACATTTATTATAGAATTATTATTATTATTCATTGAATTAATTTCATTTGATGATACAGTTTGTGATGTGATCAAATGTAATGAACTATATTGATCAGATTTTTGACTATTTATTGAATGTTCTGACACTTTAGAAAGATCAGAATCATCAGCAAATACTAAAGAACTAATTGCTGAACTTGTCCCACTATGAACTGCAGGTTGTTGATCAGTTTCTAAGAAATAAAATGTAATGATAAACTGAAGTCAATTACAAACGATAATCGTAAAGCTTGACACAATATTGTGAAGTGAACGAAGACCAATTTATTGTTTAAATAGTACAAAGAAAATGAAGAAAAACAAGTTTTATTATCAACTTTCCACGCCAAAGCTCAATCCAATGCTACGTGTTAAACCTAATGTTAGAGAGATAATAATTGGATTACAGCATGTTCCGTTTAGGATTATGCCGAAGCACTCTGATTGTCCATTCACTAATCAATCGGTGCCAATACAGATTTGGATAAGATTCTAGAATTTTCTCATGTAGAGATTATAAACATACTAACATTTCTCTTATTGTGGTTCTTTCTTTCATCCAACCATTTTATTGGGAATATGATTACGTTCCTGTTCAACCGTGGTTTCATAAGGGGAGTTTACAAGTGAAGTGGCCTCCATGAATGCTGAGCAATAGGAGCAGCTAGGTCTTAATGATTTCATTTTCTGTGTTTGCTCTTATACCACATGAATTCTATATGGATTAACAGTTTACTTTAATTTTCGCCAACATCAATTTAGGAATTCATCAAGACTATTATCATCAACGATATTAATGATAAGATTTAGAATACCACTACTACCTACAATACTACTAATGATTATGATAAGATTAATTCTAATACTAATGTGGTGTGGCCTACTTATATCCTCATAAGCAGTATATGGTGATGGTCAGACATAGAATGTATTTTGGCAACAGACCGATAAGCAAAGAACCGAAATGGAGCGCAATTTGTAGAAAAATGCATAAACAATGAAATTAGAGAAGCTAGATTTATATTTACAGAAAGGGACAGTGAAGATTGAGACAATCGATTGTTATTTTGCAAATTAACAGTTTGCTGTATGGTTATCAGATCTTAGTAAGATAGTTTGTAATTTGAACTTAAATACATTCGATTGTCCTAATCAGTGTTATTGTTCACTACACTACTACTACTACTAATAGTAATAAAAATAATAATAAACGATACTTTCACTGTACTAAATAAGCGATCTTTTTGTATACACTAACAAAACAGTTGTCTGATGGAATTTGCTATTCATGAGGATTTTGAAAGTTGACCGATTGAATATTTGTTTCTTCTAATAAAATACCTAAACTGTTTAGTTGTGAATTAAACTAAATAGATAACTGCCATGACATTCATTCCTTTTCTGTATTGATTGTTAAAAACTATCTCTCTTATCGGAGTATGTTCATCTTGCCTGCGACTTACTTACTTACACCTGTTACCCCTCGTGGAGGAGCATAGGCCGCCTCAATATATTGCCAGTAAGTCATTAGTATGATAAGTAGACATGGATGATGGTTGTATCATCTTATCAACTTATTCAACTTACTATTTAATTTGATTAAATCATCATTTTTGTTCTCTACTGTATCACATTCCATATCATGATCATGATCAATATGATGGATTTTCTTTGCAGTTATCAAATGATCCAGTCGTTTTTCTTGTTGTTGTTTTCTTTTCAATGAAACAGGTTCCAAATATGGATCAGTTGTTAGATATGGTAAATGATTTAATTCATCTTTTTCAATATAATCCAATTTATTATAATTCAAGAAACTATTGTACATTGAATTCGGTATTGTTTGTTTTACTGAAGTAACTGTAGTAGAATTTAATTTAACCAATGGATCATTTTTGACAATATGATTAATAGTACTACTGCCTCCATTGTTATTGTTGCATAAATCGATGAATTCAGTTGATAGTAATGAATCTATTCGACTACTACCTTGTAAACTGGTTTTTGTTGTATTACGTGATAACATATCATTAATGGTAGTGTGTTCATCTCCACTGCTATACATAGTATGATGATTTTGATGATGTTGATAAGCATCTTGATGAAATAATGATGGTTTTACTGTTTGAGTACTCCACATATTCTCGATATAATGGTGTTTTCTATGTAAATCATTCGATTCTGTTAGTAGAATGAAAAGAGAAGAGGGACGAAACATAGAATGAAAAGGTATAACTTGTGTCTTTACTGAAAAATAAATGACAGGATTTTGTAGTTCAAGACATGTACTGACCTGAGTAAGACATTCAATGGAAACAAGGAAGCAGTGGAGAGACAGATGTTTTTTCTTTATATGTGACTTCCAAACAATGAAGATATACGAGCCCGAGGTCTTGTGTCGAGCGCCTAATCGAATTCGACCTATAAACGATGGTAGTTATCATGAAAAGAACTGAGGATTCTCTACAGTAGACATGACCTTGATAGAATAATGCTAATAACTTCAAATGTGTCGTAAAGCTTCGGCTTAATTCTTTTTTAATTGAGATATACCATTTCTTACGAAACGAAAAAATTCATATGGCTTCTAAACAATCACACTGACTGATTGTTTATTTTGTCTCTGGCTAGCTACTATTGGTTTCCTCTAATCTAATTAATCAGTTTCATTGATTCTTTATGTTATGATAATGACGATGAGTTGATGTTAACTTGCTTTGAATATACTGTTGCCTAGGATTATATGTCACTTTTCGGCCTCATAAAACCTTAGTATTCGTCTTAGACATATTTCATGCACAACTACAAAGTAATCGTAGACATTACGTAGCCATTGTTTAGTGTCTCACCAAAGACATGGTTTAATGCCATTTGCCACAGATTCTCAGCGAAACTTCTCATGTAACCTAACGTTACGATTACCAACTGACGATATAACTATTATTAGTCCATGATATAATCCATGCAAATCAATAATCTGTTCAAACCTTCTACAATGAGAGAGAAACATGAATTGAAAAGACAGGTCATTCAACATTGAATGCAAAGGGGATAACCATAATAGTTTTCATATGACTATTTACAAGTAGTATAAAATATGTTATCGAAAATGTTAAGGAAAACCATGTTACTTACCTGACACTGATTGCAAAGATGGTTGTATCAATGGATGAGTAACATGACGTCCACTTAATCGAAATGAATCAAAATGTTGTTTATCGACTGGATAATGACTGGTCAACGGTACAATATTGCTACTATTATTATTGTTATTATTTGATGTAGCTAAGTAATTAAATGTAGGTAATACTGGCATTGATGGCATTATTTCTGTACGTGATGTGTTGAATGATGAAGACCTCAATGATGATTTTTTATAAGATAATCCATAACTATTATTATTATGATTGTTACTTTGATATCTTGGTGGTGTGAATGAACCGTTGCTTTGATTAAAACTACGAAAAAACGATGATAATCGTCGGATGCCATTACTAAAACTATTTCGACTTGGTGGTGTGAACTTCCACGGTAAGTCATTATCATTCACATTGATCCATGAAATAGATTGTATATTTGAATTAGTCTTAGGATAGATAGCCGACGATATATTGTCCCTATTACTATTATTATTACTTGGTAAATTCATAGGATATTTTGTATAAATTGGTGAATTTGCTTGATCATCATTTGCGTATAAAGCGCTAACTATCCCGGAATTACTACTATTATTCGTTGCTGTAATCAATGTCCTTGTACTTTGTTGTGTTCTCTCACTCCCAGATCTTTCTGATCTTAGAAATACGTGATTTGAGTATGGATGTTGATGATTTAATTCTTCCTTGTTTGATAACGATGATGTTGATGATGGTGATGATGATATAGGTATCATAGGTAATGATGGTTCAGCTGTTGTTCCAAATCTTGACACATTATCATTGGTCAATAATCCACTATTATTTGATGATGTCATTAAATGACGATTATTTGGTAATTGTGGAGTTGATTTCCCTAAAAAACTACCAGATGATTCCAAAAGACCACGTTGAGATAATGATTGAATTTCTTGACGTCTTTGCAATTGTGTATATAATCGACGCTTTTTTCGCATACTTCTACGCCATGGTAACCACCATGAACGTGGTATACCGTTTGGTGGATTCAATGATGGAAAAAGAATTGTTTCACTAGATGCTCCAAACCTTGAATGGTTATTATTATTAGTAGTCGTACTATTAGTATGATTAGTATTGTGATTAAAGGCAGGAGGAGCACCATTAGTACTGCTAATATGAGATGTGGAATTCGTCCGTAGCCATGGTAATGAATTCATAATCTGTCTACGATCTGAACTCGGTGTGTTCGGTACCAATGTTAATGCTGAAATAGCAGTAGGAGGTTTTTGATTTCTTTTCATAGAAGAGTTACGCCATGGTGGTAAATGACCATCTGTAATAAAGTCAATATTTGATGGTTTTTTATTCACACCTGAAACAGTTGATGAATGAAGTAAAAATGTTGGTTGTTGTTGTTGTGCTGTGTTCGAAAAATCTGGGAAACTTCCATTGATCGTATTATGACTCAATAAATAAGGATAAGATTTGAAGAGATTTCCATTGGTGGAAACTATGTGATCATGGTTGTTGTTGCTGTTATTATTATTATGAAATGACATGAGAGACCTTTTGCATGTTGGAAATAACAAAGTATCCTTAGATCTACTAAATGTTCCCAATGAACAGGAACCAAGACGATTCGACGATGAAATTGCAGCCAGGTCAATAGTTTTATGATAATGTTCAAATAATCTAAAAAGAAAAATACAATGAGTGATAATCTAAACAATGTCCATTATCCCCATTTTTGTTTAACTTAATTATAGAGCTGTTGCTGGAAATAACACTCTCGTCGACTGAATTTTTAGGAATTGATCTCCTACCAGGAGGTCCACTTATGGACTTAGAATACGCAGATGACATAGTCCTGTTTGGTGAAGACGCTGACAAAATGCAGAGTCTTCTGTTAGAACCGAGTAATAATGCCAGGATGTTTGGGATGCGTTTCTCTTCATCCAAATGTAAATTGTTACTCCAGGACTGGCCTGCGTCAACACCTGAACTAAGTATAGGGAGCGAAGTAGTCGAACGCGTCGACAACTTCACTTATCTTGGAAGTCTGATCAGCCCTAATGGGTTGGTGTCTGACGAAATCTCAGCACGGATTCAAAAAGCTCGTTTGGCTTTTGCCAACTTACGTCACCTATGGCGAAGACGAGATATCCATCTATCAATTAAAAGACGAGTATACTGCGCAGCAGTTCGCTCTGTTCTACTTTACGGCTGCGAAACATGGCCATTAAGAGTAGAAGATACTCGTAAGTTACTAGTATTTGACCACAGATGCCTTAGGAATATTGCTAGCATCTGCTGGGATCACAGGGTAAGTAATAGTGAGGTTAGACATAGGGTATTAGGAAATGATGGCAAATCAGTTGATGAGTCTTCATCGACTAAGATGGTTAGGCCACGTGTTACGTATACCTGAACACCGATTACCACGACGCGCTATGATGACTAGTATTGGGGACGGTTGGAAGAGAGTTAGGGGCGGCCAAACCAAAACATGGCATCAGTGCTTGAAGTCACTAACTTCTAGCCTGAGCCATGTTGGCAGATGCAGACTACCTGGTTGGGGTCCGCGTGACTATCGTAATAAATGGTTGGAGACTCTAGGTGACATGGCTCAGAATCGATCACAATGGCGTAGGTGTATACACTCTTTATCTTCCCTTAAACCTTGAGATTAAAATTGCTTCATAACTTTCTTACTTCCTATACTATATCCTTAGATACAACCTATCTTTTATATACTACCACTACTAAATTAACTACTTCTATGAATCCGGTGTTCATCTTGTTGTACTAATGAGGTATGGCAACTTGGACCGATGTATATGTGTGCCTGGTCCTACGTTGTAGCTGACTGACTGATACTACTCGCGGCATTTAAACTAACTTGACAGTTAACAGAATTACATCAACATGAAAATATTGCACAAATACGATATTGACTGCTACTTAGCAATCAGTCAGTTGTAAGTTGAATACAGCTTAGTTAGGGTCAATAAAATAACCGTAACTAATGGTTATGAACCTCGAGCGTCATGATATGAAATTGACTGCAACGTTGCCAATCTATGTGATAAGTGCAGGATTATTCCGGGTAGAAGGACTAGTAACAGGTTAGAAAATCAATATAAATTGTTAAAGTATTCAACATATCAATGGAGTCGGTCAATAGGTAATGTAAAAGAATTGTACTAGACATCTACCTATCTATATGTACATTAACAAATCAATCACTATACAACTTTGTATTCTACATCAATACACAGATATATATTTATATATAAAATAAAACTTTAACTTACTTATGCCTCAGACTACAGACAACAAGAAAAGTAGCCAAAAGAAATATTAATATTCCAAGTATAGAACCTAAGGCAACTGAAATTATATAAATTAATAAAGAACAAAAAAAACTTTTATAAATATACGATTCAATGGAATATAAACATTCATTTTCAAGTATTCAATGGACAGAAGAGAAACATGCAGTATGGACTTTACAACTGTAAACCATAAATTTAATTCATGATCTCCTACTTTGCTGTAAGAAATCTGATAGTAATAGCACTAGCCATTTAAAGTAGATCTTTAAGTTAACTACAAATATCTGTACTTGACAAACAAGATGGATAAGATGCAGATTTATTATTGTACAAAATATATTACTATTAAGTATAAATAACTCATCGGTTAATATGTACAGATACACGTGATAGAACTAGAAAGAAAGGCCCAGGACAGATTGGGTTGGAGAATGCTAGTCGGTGGCCTATGCTCCATTGAGAGTAACAGGCATAAGTAGTAGTAGTAGTAGTAGTAGTAGTATTAAGTAGTACAAAATATATTATTATTAAGCATAAATAGCTCATTGGCTAATATGTACAGATGCACATGATTCCTTTAAAAACTGACCATACAAAGCATCTTCCACATAAAATCAAAAAAAAGAAGACATACACATTCAAAATACCTGTAAATATTTGACGAAATATATAAAGAAAGAGAATGAGAACAGTTTATTAAAGAAGATGAGGAAGGACTACCAAAGGTAATTCAAAACCGATGGAATGTAGGACAGTATTAATTAACATCCATAATATTGATTAATCTAACTCGTATATATATATATATATATATATATATATATATATATATATATCCTGTAGGACTATATTGTAAACAGATGTATGTTACACATAAACTTATCATTCTTCCAACTGGCTTCATTTTCACTTTACATGATTCGGATTTCGTTGTGAATCAATTTTATGAAAGCATTAAATAGTGCAGTTAATTCATCTGTCAATCATATTAAAATGAACGACATATAAGCAATGATGCATAGGCTGTCAGTGGAACCTAGGAGGCGCGTTTTGCCCTATTTGCGACTCGTCAGCCAGACGCAGCTGCATCTCAGCGTGGATGTTCCATCTGAGACTCAAACCCGTAACCTTTCGCTTCAAACGCCATCGCGTTATCCATTCAGCTACTGAGTCCTGATAGCCACTTGCTTGTGCATATAGTTATTTTTTTTTAAAGACACAAGGTGATTACAATAAATACAGTGTTATGAGTTAGAAAAAAACACAAACATAGTGCACGCAGTGTCGAACCACCTAGACTAGTGGCCACATTGCGACTTGGTCGATAGCATTCGATCAGCACTAAGAAGGACTTGACACGCATGACATTGATCATCACACAGTGACCAATCAATTGTGAAACACTGGATTCCTTAGAATATACCAATGAGAACAGAATCACTACTTCAAGAAATTTATGAGTTATAAAGTCCGTATACTTATTAGTACTATGAAACATAAAACGTAATTAGGTCAACACTCATTAGACATTAACGCCCGAAAAATTCATGAACTATCTCAAAACTAACTAAATCGCTCTTCTCTCATTGGCGGGAATCAGCACGTTCATATACTAAACAGGACACGCACTCAAGTAAACGTTATAAAACATTTACACAGACAAATAAATAAATCAACATAGAGAATGAAGCAAAAGATCTAATTTATAAAGTTCCGAAAGGAGGAACCTGTTAACACACAAAGTCCTAGTAACAACTCAACTCATTTCAACAGGGTTAACATTACACAGGTACGAAAAGTCATTCAAATAAATGATAAACATTCATTCTATAGAGGAAACATTGAAGAACTCAATTCAAGCATAAACAAATATAATACATGCTGAATAACAAGATCGTTTATAAAATCAGTTAGAACATTTAACATTATAAACATGATCATCGTTATCTTTCTTATTATCACTGTCATTATTATTACTACAAACTGCACAAAAACTTGAAGAGAAAGTTTTGTCAGCTTTTATGAATATTATCGTTACATGCACACTCACACACATACAAACACACACATGTACAAACCAACACAGATATGCCTATAGACACATTGAAAGGACTTACCATCCTATCATGATAAGTTATTTTACTTGAAAAGAAAAGGTATTAACGGGATTATTATTATTAGTAGTAGTATAGTTGGAAAGTAGAGAAAAAAACAGAATTCCAGGCTAAAATGTAAAACAACATCATGAATTATTCGAAATTTGAGACTTCGTATGATCTTGAGGTCCTAGGTAAGATAACCGGGAAAGTTGGTAATACGCACTTCTGAAGAAACTGATAAATAACGAAACAGTTACTTAGTGCTTCTCAGTTTGAATGATTATCTGACTACAGTTTATTGAAAACGACAAAGTACAGTAGTATTGGTTGGTTATCAATTGATGGTAATCTTGCTATGATTATGTAAAGATTTCGTCCAACTTCTTAACTAAATTGAACATTCCTTAATTGATATGAAAGTGTTATTGTTTGATTAAAGGATTTGAAAAGACTACTTTTTGAATAGTATATAGTAGTCATTATAAAAAGACATTACTAACAACTGAACTGTGGATGTATTGTGTTAAAAAGATCTTGACAACAATAAGACAACTATCATCCATTGCTTAGTGACTTTCAATCCAAAACGATTATCCAGCCCTAACTGAAATCAATATGTTATCAGTTAACCGATAAAATAACATTTCATTTTGACAAAGTAGATAAATTGTAGCTAGCAGCAAAACTCAATATATGCCTTTCGTCCCATCTTTGGCTAGCTAGTCAGACTCCAACCCAGAAACCTTTCATTCCAAATATCCAATGTTTTGCGTACTGAACCATTTTTTTCACTCATCGACTAGCTAGTTCAAAACAACTGATGTGCATATCGTTATTAGTGAAGATTCGGATCACGGCTCCATCAAGGAGATTAACACAAGTTGTACACGTATATGCTATTAAGATAATTGAAACACTTTACTATTAATTGCCTAAATTATTTCTTGTTTTATCACTCAGTAACTCTAATCAAAAAATGCTGTATACACATCATAAGATGTTAAATGAGAATTTGATTGCAATTATGACTCGATCTAAGTTACACTATTATTTAAAACCTGGAAGCAATAGACACTCATTTCATCCTAGTATGTAACCCTTCAGAATTGTGCATCCACAATTACGCACGTGGAATTCGAACCCAGTACCTTCAGTTTCTCGACGACAATAAACCTCTGGAATATTCAGTGTTCAAAACATAAGTACGGGTTTCTTCTTCTATATTACTTAATCAAATTAAAACATAAAATCCTAGTGTACAACATGCAAGAAAACAAATGTATGATTATTATTACCATTATATGTGAAAATTGTATTTGAAATAGTCTCAGCGATTGAAATTCAAACGATCATAAAGTTTCGTCCAGATAACTTGTCTGGACTTCTTCAGGGTAACAATAAAAACCATCAGAGAAATACAGAGTGTTTTTTTTAACAATCATTGATTTTGATTATTACCCTGAAGAAGTCCAGACAAGTTAGCTGGACGAAACCGTTGGAATTACAATAGCTGAGAATATTTTAAATATAATTCTTATATATAATGACTTCTTTATACCCGGCGCCTAATTTTTGTCAAGCGATTCGTTCTAATCTTGACGAATATTCGTATATATTATTACTATTATTGAATATTGAATGTTCAATAAGTCATTGAATCATGGTTGAGATAACGGATAAATCAGTTCACATCAATATATCCAACATGTAAAACAATGTACATGTATATAGAATATATAAACAGAGAGAAGAACAAAAAGAAGAAAGAAACGGAAGAAATACTGTCAATTAAATAGAGATATACACAATATGTATATTGTAGATAAGTAATTCAAACGACATGACAACAAAGTGATATATACACAAATACACACACTGACACAACAGAACATCATTCTATAGAAGTATCAAGAGAATCAAACAACTTACAGTTTGTTTGTATTAGATAATAAAATGTGTTTTTGTTTGTTATAAGTGTATCTACAAAACTGAACTGCACAAATACTACTACCCACCGAATATTGAGATGGAGGAGGGGGGTGGAAGTGTGTGTGCGCGCATAAAAAAGGGGGTGAAAAACACTGATGTATTTTTATGAGATATTTTTTTTCAGAAAATTTCTTATTAATGACTCAATATTACCTGTGTATTTCAATAAAATTAATTGATAATGAAGATAAGGTAATGAGAGAGATTAGATTACACAATAAATGGTTTAGTCTATGTGTGCTTCTTAAATTCATTATTGTCCTTTCTAAATTATGCTGTAGGGCTCACATACATTGTGAACATGAAATAATAAAGAAAATGAGCAATAGGTGCTATTAACATTGTTACACGTCTTATAACATCGAGATATACAGCTGACACAATGCTATATCACTTCATTGAAACACTATAAAACCATATTAATCATTTAACAGTTCATCTGACCAGTTATAGAAGCAAAAGAAAGAAGGTATGTTTGAGTAATTATATGTTTTGATTGAGATCATGAGTTGAACAATATAAGACCGCCATTGAAAACTTTGAAGTATTGGACAATTGTTTTGTCTTAGTATGGGACCCATCAAAAATGGTTATCCACAATCCCGCACGCAGGATTTGAACCTGAGACCTTCTGTCCGAAATAAGTCAGATTGTTTTGTTTAGAGTTAAATTAAAACTACTGACTAGCTTCTAAAATCGAAAAAGGTTGCGAACGATGTTCAAACAAATAATCCAATAACTGAAAGTTAAACGTCTTAACTTTATTAAACCACTGTTTCACCACAGAGTTACATAGACATTCAATCATGAAAACCAAAGTAGAAGTTAAAAACTAGTATGTATCACCGATCGGAAGTGAAATGTCTGGCAGTAGAAGATTAAGATAAAAGAAAAGACAACAAGAATATAGAGTGATTGGTGTGGAGACGATGGGATAATCAAGTCTGAAACAATTGATTGACATTTCGCAAATGAAGTATTTACTATATGGTTCTCAGACTTCATTAGGACGTTCTATAATTTTATACTCAAATACATTTGGTTGTCCCCCATCGGTGTTTTCATGCACAACACATTTATTACACGATATCCAACAGACAAAACTTTATAAACTTTTAAAAATGAATATGAAATGGTTACACTAGTCGTCGTCAAAAAGTCCTTTTTATACATAATTATTTCAATATACACAAGTTACTTTACAGAGCGATTAGTATAATAAAAACTAGTATTATTACCGACCGTTGCTGCTACCTTGATGTGGTGGTCGGGCTTGCCTATCGTGATGAACCAATCGAACTATACTGGCTGGAACAATCGTTCTTCAATGTCCTACCATGCCAGACAGGTCGGTTGAAGAGCGGTAAGACTAAAGGTAGGAAACCCAGATCCGAAAGCGGAGTTGTACTGCTGACTGCACAGAGATGTGACGGCAGTTAGTTGTTTCCTTCAAACAACCAGCATAACAGCGATGCTACCTTCCCACAAGGAAGGGTGGGTTAGAAAAGTTCGACCTTAAAAATGCTATTTCCCACAGATATCCGTCTCCGGCGGTAAGGTCCCAACAAGTATAGAGCTAACACAAAAACTACCCACAAAAAGGTCGTGTGTGACCGACCTCAAGCAGTTGACCCTTGGGCACTGCGGTCAAGCTCTCATGTCTTTAGGACCACTTATAATCCAGTTTCCTTTTCAGGTCCCTCAAAAAATACCCTTCCACGGTGTGAGCAACCGGGAAGTGATAAGTGCCCTAATACCTCTAATTGCACTCAAGATCACTATATTCATAATCAATCTCCTTCGATCCCTACAATTCCTTCTATCTGAACTTTCAACACTGAACTTGTTTCAGTTTCCTCCTAAGTATCAACATGGCCAACGATTCTAGTGCGCGAAACACTGTCCCAGGTCTTTTAAAAACCTCGCTCCAAACTGCACATTGAACCTTTCAACGTACGTATCCTAAGTCAAATCGGTCAACAGGACTTCTTGACTAAGACCATAGAATCGGGTACTATTGATGTATGCTGTGTTTCCGAAACACGCATACAGGATCCTAGTGCGGTGATTCCCTTGACCTCACCTCGCCAAAATGAATAGCCAACGAAATACACTCTCCATGTATCTGGCTTCGCTATGACTGGTTCTCGTGGACTTGCAGGTGTAAGCATAGCTCCTAGTACAACGGCAGAACAACCACTATGAGAATGGATCCCCGATAACAGTCGCCCATGTGCTGTCCTGCTAAATGGCTCCGTAGCAACCCGGAAGGATAGGGTTACACGTCGTTGCCTTTTTGTCGTTTCTGTCAATGCTCCTACTTCAGTGGCAATACTGCATGAATACCTTTGTTATAAAATCATAGTGATAAAATACCCATATATGATCACACTTTTGGCATGAACGACACAAAATAATTAGATCCAATAAAATGACTGCTACAACACTAAGAACAAATAGCCTTCTATGAATAATATTCCATCTCATCATTTCATACTACTTATTAAGTTTCTCTCTTCAACTATACTATAACTATTGTTAACATGAGGACAATCTAAATAATATGTAAAACAGCATATTATATAAATATATATCTAGAGAGAGAAGTCGGATGGAAACAACAACGTTTCTCTCTCTCTTGCTTTAATTACCTGATGAAAGATGTGTTACTTGATCATTATCATTGGCAGCTTTCAAATACAATGATGTATGAGTAGTATTGAATTCTGATTGATCAACATTTGTCAAAATCTTCAACATCATCTCATCACTACTGTTCATATCCAACTGATTACTATTTAAGGATAATTTTGTATTTTTGTTTTCCATTTTTTGTAAATTTTTAGTGATTTGTGCAACAAATGTAGCAAGTTCATCGGCTATAAAGTAAATAAAAATGAATAAGTGTTGTTGTTGATGATGTTTTCTTTCTTTTTCTTCAAACAAAAAATCGATAAATTCTCAGATGCAGGTACATCCAGTTGACGAGTCTCAAATAGGACGAAACGCGCGTCCTGGATTTCACTGCTAGCCACTATCCATCCTTGCAAACGATCGATAATTTAAAATAAATATTTAACAATTGAAGAATTTTTTTCTTTTGTAAAACAGAATTAAAACGAAGAATTTCGTTGCTGGTAAACTAATTGAAATACCTTAGCAAGACAACTGTCTCATAGCCAACGTGGTTGAACACCACTCCTTTCAGATTTTCACTAGAACTCTTTAAAATTTCTCTCAAAGTTGACTGTGAGACCTGAAGGTCATGAGGTCCAATCCCTTCCAAGACTGTTGGTATATACTGCTCAATAGTCCCATTCTATCACAAAGCATCTGTACAATGAACGGTACGTTTTAATAACACCCCCCCTCTTAAAAAATCTATGTTAATTCATGAAAAATACCATGAATAAACAAAATTTATCGTTTCTCTTTCAATGTAACAATCATTTTAACTGGTACAATTATATATTTATGTAATTTAAGCATTACAGCAAATTAATTATTGCAAATCACATGTATCATTATTATGATAGAGATATATGTACATATCTAGTTTCTATCACCATCACTCTCACTCTCCCTTATAACTTTGTTGCTAATCGTGACATTTATTTACGTGATATATGTTGATCTGTGCATGTGTGTGTAAGGGGGGGGGTGCGGTGAATATGTGCATGTTTTACAATGAAAATTGACTAATGATTCTACTTTTTTAAAAAAAAACAATGAAAAAGCTAATTACATTTTAACTCATAATTGTTTTGTTTTTTTTTGGTTGTATAAATTAAAATAAATAAATAGACAAAGAAAACAAGTACGCGTCTAAAGTCCAAATTTATAAATTATGGTGTTTTTTTTATTTAAACAAGACAATTATTTCGAATCATCTAACTCATTCTTATCCATATTTAAGTTGTGAAAATTGTAAACCAATCTAAGTTAGACATCTATTAAAAATCTGGTATCAATAAAGGCTGGTTTTGTTTTACTATAAGACTTCTCAACAGTGAAGATTCATGGTCACCTAAACGCGGAATTGAAACTCGAGATCAATAAGTTTGTATTCAACAAACTATAACATCGTTGAATGCCGAATCAATTGTCAAGATGTTGCATTCCAGATTATGAGGTCCATGGATGTGATTTGGTTAGGAGTACAACGCTAAGACAAAACGGACTATACAACTCTTCATAACACTGTCACCAGTAGTGACCGTCTAATTATTGTTTATAAAACTGAGCAAACTGAAATTTTGCGAATAGTAATAAAATAAAGATATGATCTGTCCAGTAAATAAACAAACTAAGAAAAAGGCTTGTCCATACACTTCTAGTGTAATTTAGAGAAAAATAACTCTCGGGAAATCTATGAAGCACTAACAAGTTGTAGATGGAGGGGATGTACTAAAAACACCAGCTCATTACAGGTGAAATAAAGGTTTTAATGAGAGCCATGAAGAATACATTACCGATTCGAAACCAAAACGATGGTCAACTGCTTGGGTTGATGATAGCATAGAGTTGTGTTCAGTTTATTGTAGTTTTTAATTAATTAGTGATGAACTAAAAATTTGGGATAAACGTCTAAGCACACAACTGTAACAAAACGTGGGCAGATGAAACACCTAAAAAGTCAGACACCTGGGAACTTTGTGTAACCTTCTGACCAACGCAAACAGAGGCATTACCATTGATAGGGAGAAAATTTGAAGGACAAACTTCATAGACATAATTGGATACTGAAATTGATTTTGTTCAACAAAAGAATTTTTTTATCAATGACCAATGCTCCACTAAGATCGCACCGATTGATAACCCATGAAACAGATAGAAAGATAATAATTAAGTAGAGAAAGCATATATTCTTCCCTACCCACCTAACAATTAAGACATATACGCCGACTTCTAATCGTAATGCACATAAATCTAGGTGAATTTGTGAATCAGTATCTCAGTGAACCAAACAATCGGTTTTTGCAAACTATCTCAGTTTCAAACCTATTATAAAACTTGTATTGTGTGATTCCATACCATCATATATTTTGCTAAGGATTGTTGTTGAAATCATTTGTTACACTGATGAACTGTGTAAAAATAGTCACATATTATGTCATATATTGACTGAAAATGGGAAATATATGTATTTCAAATCCTTTAACAAGTTGTAAAATGACAGTTCTCAACAGAAAGCCTGTAATTTCATGATTTAAACACGTGATGGTTTGAATACGTTTATATCACTGAAGAGTCCTAAAGTACGACAAAACAACAGATAATCACTATTTACTTTTCAATCTGTAATGAATGACATTTATAAACTAGATCCTAGTCAAGAAACAATATGATCTAGATAAAAGAATCAATTTAGTTAAAGATAAATTATTAAAAAAGTACATTGAATAGGCAAACAAATAGATCATCATTATCTAATTAACCTGATCGAGTCGTAGTCAAATATAAATATAACGTTATTTCATGTTTGTACTGTTTGTATAAGTCTTCCTATTGGTGTTTAGGACCTCAAATAATCAGTCTTTTATTGGTGTACGAGGATCCTGTGTGGATTTCCTCAATATTGCCTTAAGTCAGAACCGTTGTAAGCAATGATGGAAGGTAACTAGCAGTGGGATCCAGAACGTGAGTTTCGTCTTATTTGTGACTCATAAGATGGATGTACATTCATACTATGAATCAAACTTCACCGCACTGCACAAGCTAGGTGGCCATCCGGACTCAGTAGATAAGCGAATGACGCGATGATGTTCCAAGCGGACGGTACTGAGTCGGAGTACCGGGGTGAACATCAACACTTCAATGTAGGTACATCCGGATGACGAGTTCCAGATTGGATGAAATGCGCGTCCTGGATTTCAGTGCTAACCACAATCATCTCTGCTTACAAACATAACTTCGCCCTTAATTAGGCAATGGTTTAATCGGTATATTTATTAGTTTACACCAAAATCAAACTTATTCGACTTGAGAAATATATTTCTTGGTTATGTTCTTCATACATCAATCTCTTTTAGAGTATTTGTAGAAAACTATAAAACACTGGGTAACTACTTTATCCTAAGTAATAATACTGTTCTTCTTCTTTTCAGTAATATTTGCTTGAACTGAAGACTTCAGAATCATTTTCAATGGTAATTTTGACCATGAACTTGATACGAAATTGTGTAAACATCACACACCAATAGGAAAAAACACTAGGTAGGTGTTTTAACCTTATCTGAAACTCCTGAAAAGTGTATACACCTAATTTCTAAACAAAATAAAACCTTGTGATGAAATATCAATTCACAGGGTTCTTCACCATCTCCGATGGATTATAATTTATAATAAAATCATTTCATTCCACGATTGTTAAGGAATACTGCAAACTAGGTAGCCAATGCAAATAATTGACATATATACGTTTATTGGTCGACAAATAAATTGATAACATTCAACTCAAGACATTCCAAAATCATTATACGGATTTATTTTTATTTATTTAAACGCATAAATACTGGTACCAAGTACCAAGTATATATGCACCATACAGATAATTCGCTTTGTGTGAGAGCTCGAATACTGAACGGGCACGCAAACCGAAACAGGTGATTATGTTAGAGTGCCACTCCTCGAGCCTCTGACCTACAGGTCTAACCCACAAGGCAGTGGATGAGCGTTGGGAGATGCAGTCCCATAGTCGCCTGTGGCCAATAATGGGTTCATACGCCCATTGTTCCCTGAGAATCCTGAAGGCCATGTGAACCACCGATTTAGAATTACGGTTTTCCAAGTCCCCTAGGTAGACCCTCCATTTACACCGACCCGGTTAAAGAGCCGGACATTCTCTTTTCGTCTAATTCACCTTGTAAACAATGCCGCTGTCGCGAGAGGCCAACATGTAGGACTTCCATGGAAGTGGCTTTATACGTTTATACATGTAAGGGCATTTCGAGAGGGAGAGCTGACTTCCCTTAGACCGTGCGAGGGCATTTACATTCAAGAACATAGAGTTCAAAATATCCACATGATCCACAAATGATCACAATACAGTTCAACTCACAAGTGAACTACTCATGTGATAATTAACACAGTATTTTTTTGAAATCAAGAACAAATCAGTGAAATTTGAACATTGAACCTAACTGTTTAACTAATAAAACAAAACAATATTTACATTGTAAAACATATAAACAAATACATGTAGTTATGACTTTTTCTGATGAGTCATAGTAAAAAGAATAAAATTAAAACACGAAGTTCAGCGAGGCGATCACTTTTCAACGAATTTATTATCAAGCTGTACAATCGTGTATATATATGAAAATGGTTTGTTAAAGTACTAATTCCGTAAGGAAATGTGAATACTAATAACCAAGATTACCATACAACATTACATAATACGAGTAGTAACAATAGATTTAGTGAATAAGATGATTATTACTCGTATTACTCCATGGACCGAGGATCATCAAAGCCTCCTTCAGAACAAAGAGAGAGGGCATTACAATGAACATCATCCAATGCTATGCGCCGACCAACGACTACGATGAAGACGCTAAAAACCAATTCTACGATAGGCTGCAGTCAATCTTTGAGAAGTGCCCAACCAAGGACCTGACCATTCTAATGGGAGATTTCAATGCCAAGGTTGGAAAGGACAACACTGGATACGAAGACGTCATGGGACAACATGGACTGGGAGGAAGGAACGAAAACGGTGAGAGATTTGCAAACCTATGTGCCTTCAATAAACTGGTCATAGGTGGCACCATATTCCCACACAAAAACATACACAAAGCCACTTGGATTTCACCGGATCACACTACACAGAATCAAATCGACCATGTCTGCATCAACAAAAAGTTCAGGAGGACGATGGAGGATGTGAGAACCAGGAGAGGAGCTGATATAGCATCCGATCACCATTTGCTGGTCGCCAAGATGAAACTAAAACTCAAGAAGCACTGGACAATGGCGCGGACAACATCACAAAAGTTTAACACGGCCTTTCTTCGAGATGCTGACAAACTCAACGAATTTAACATAGCCCTCAGCAACAGGTTCCAGGCCTTTCATAACCTACTCAATGAAGAGGGAACCACCATAGAGAGCAGCTGGAAAGGTATCAAGGAGGCAATCGTTTCAACATGTCAGGAGGTTCTGGGCCAAAAGAAGCACCATCACAAGGAATGGATCACTGTTGGTACACTGGATAAAATTGAAGCAAGGAGGAACAAGAAGGTAGCAATCAATATCAGCCGAACAAGAGCAGAAAAAGCCAAGGCACAAGCCGAATACACAGAGGCAAACAAGCAAGTGAAGAGGAGCATCAGGACCGACCGACCTAAATATGTGGAAGATTTAGCGATGACAGCGGAAAAGGCTGCAAGAGAGGGAAACATGAGACAACTGTATGATACAACAAAGAAACTTGCTGGAAATTACCGTCAACCAGAAAGACCAGTGAAAAACAAGGAAGGCAAAGTAATCAACGATATTGAAGAACAACGAAACAGGTGGGTAGAACACTTCAAAGAACTCTTGAATCGACCAGCTCCACTGAACCCACCCAACATCGAAGCAGCACCCACAGACCTCCCAATCGATATTGGCCCACCAACAATTGAAGAGATCAGCATGGCCATTAGACAAATCAAGAGTGGCAAAGCAGCGGGACCAGACAACATCCCGGCAGAGGCACTGAAAGCAAATGTAACAGCAACTGCCAAGATACTCCACATCCTCTTCGGTAAGATTTGGGACGAAGAACATGTACCAACAGACTGGAAAGAAGGACTTCTCATCAAGATACCAAAGAAAGGCGATCTGAGCAAGTGCGACAACTACAGAGGCATCACTCTCCTCTCAATACCAGGAAAAGTCTTCAACAGAGTATTGTTAAACAGGATGAAGGATTCCGTGGACGCCCAACTTCGAGATCAACAAGCTGGATTTCGTAAGGATAGATCGTGCACAGATCAAATCGCAACTCTACGTATCATTGTGGAACAATCAATCGAATGGAATTCATCACTGTACATCAACTTCATCGACTACGAGAAGGCATTTGATAGCGTGGACAGGACGACACTGTGGAAGCTTCTTCGACACTACGGCGTGCCTGAGAAGATAGTCAATATCATACGGAACTCCTATGATGGACTAAACTGCCAAATCGTCCACGGAGGACAACTCACCGACTCGTTTCAAGTAAAGACCGGTGTTAGGCAAGGTTGCCTACTCTCACCCTTTCTCTTTCTCCTGGTCATCGACTGGATTATGAAGACGTCAACATCTGGAGGAATGCACGGGATACAGTGGACAGGCAGGATGCAGCTTGACGATTTAGACTTCGCGGATGATCTGGCTCTTCTATCACAAACGCAACAACAAATGCAGGAGAAAACGACCAGTGTAGCAGCAGCCTCAGCAGCAGTAGGTCTCAATATAAACAAAGGGAAAAGCAAGACTCTCCGATACAATACAATATGCACCAATCAAATTACACTTGACGGAGAAGCTTTGGAGGATGTGGAAATCTTTACATATCTGGGCAGCATCATTGATGAACACGGTGGATCAGATGCAGATGTGAGGGCGCGGATCGGCAAAGCAAGAGCAGCATACCTACAGCTGAAAAACATCTGGAGCTCAAAACAATTGTCAACCAACACCAAGGTTAGAATTTTCAATACAAATGTCAAGACAGTTCTTCTGTATGGGGCGGAGACGTGGAGAACTACGAAAGGCATTATCCAGAAGATACAAGTGTTTATTAACAGCTGTCTACGCAAGATACTTCGGATCCGATGGCCAGACACTATCAGCAACAAGTTACTGTGGGAGAGAACAAACCAGATTCCAGCGGAGGAAGAAATCAGGAAGAAGCGCTGGAAGTGGATTGGGCACACTTTGAGGAAATCACCCAATTGTGTCACAAGACAAGCCCTCACATGGAATCCTGAAGGTCGAAGGAGAAGAGGAAGACCAAAGAACACATTACGCCGAGAAATAGAGACAGACATGAGAAGAATGAACAAGAACTGGAAAGAACTAGAAAAGAAGGCCCAGGACAGAGTGGGTTGGAGAAAGCTGGTCGGCGGCCTATGCTCCATTGGGAGTAACAGGCAAAAGTAAGTAAGTAAGTAAGTAAGTACAGCTTGAGAATAAATTCGTTGAAAAGAGATCTCCTCGCTGAACTTCGTGTTTTAATTTTAATGTTTAAATGGGAATTATATGGCAAAAGAGGAGTCTCATAGTAGGACGAAACGGCCGTCCAGTGCTTCCAGGTTTTCGATGGTGGTCTAGCTTCAATTGACTTATAATTTCAACTGTGAAAATACTAAATTCTCCACAAAACCCCTCCGATCTAAAAGCTTTTATAACGAGAAAAAAAGTATTATTTCTAGTTCTATTAACTGAAATTACTACGTTGGTGATTTAAACGGAAATTCAATTATTGTTAAATCCAGGTTGAATGGGATTCTCTGTCAGTTAGTTAATTAATAGTTAGTATTCATCCCAGCTTAATCTTGAGGTACTATCGAAAAGTATTGAACACTGAACCACTGTTACAATAGTGCTTCGACTGAGATCAATCTGTGATGAATGCTACCTATAAATTAAATTTAATCATATAAAACTACATTGACTTAGCTATAATAATCAGCTCATTAATGAGTTATTTTACGATATTCCTGAAGTTATAGTAAAAAGCCGTGACTGACGAAGTTCCAACATGTTGAGAGTGAAAAAGTTCTCATTAACAAGACTGATTGATTGAAGAATTGTGGTGTGCACCACTTATGTCGGTCAACATAAGTAATAGGTAACACCAATTGGAAGTGGTAACTTCGGCAGAAAAAGCTAAGAGAGTCGAGTTGAAGAGAATAGGAGTGAAAATAGAAAGGAATCGTAAACTAAAAGAATCATATGGAATGTGAAGGAGAAATGAAGTGTTCAGTATATTGTATATTTTACCAAGAAACGAAGTAGTTTTTTATTAAAATACATTGGTTATTTCCACCTGTGTTCTTGTTCATTACAGAATTACATCGAAAACTGGTCAAAGTTGAAATTATAGCACTGAGCGCTAAAACTAGTAGTTCCAACGGATAAGTATTCATCGAATACCAACAATAGGATGTAACAACTAGCCAGTACTTCCTGATTTTCAATGACATATTTAATTAAAACCCATCTGTGATGAATGCAATTCACAAGTTCCACGAATCATTACCTAACCTTTCAACTGTATAGGTTGTTTTTCACAAATTACATCCGAATAAACGAAAAGGTGGATTATTTACTAATACACATTTCGAATTTCAACCAGCACCCAGTACCATTGAATTAAGCAAGTTGAAATATGGATCCCGAATGATCAACTATCAAATATACACTAAAATATTGCTCTAAATACTGACTCTTTTCTTTCAGTGTATCATTTTCGGTTGGAATAGAAATAAACCCCTGATTGGTATTTTGGTTTTCTCAAATATTTAGGAGACACGTCAACAGTAATGAAGAGTCTAATAAAAATGGACAAGTTTTCAATGTGATTAATTCAGTCGTTCCTACTGATACTTTATCAGATCAATATTGTTATACTATTCAATTAAATATTTCTATTATCATCTACATATAAAGACAGTGACTTACATGTTAAACAAGCTTCTGGTAATCGATTTGGTATCCATTTACGTTCATGATGATCACAAATCAGTGTTATATGTCTTCGACGCTGTAACCACCATGGATTAGGAATACTGTCATTATTAAGTGATGATCTATTACCTGTTGACGAAAATGATGAGGATGATTGTGATGGATTGATTTCATCTAAGTCTGGATCCATTGGCTCTAACCAACGATCAGATGGACAGAATACTTCAGCATAAGCGAAGGTATGAGATGTTTGCTGATTTACACGGAACCGATAGTCAACCACTCCATTACCACTTGGTGGATTGATGGGAACACATAAAAGAGCTAGAGAAGAAATCAATAAAAAAAATTAGGCATTTTTAAGTTATTTTTAAAATTCCAAAATGTTTCTTAACTAGTTTCTAGACAATTTCAGATACTGTTATAATTCCTCTTATTACGAACCAGCTAATCCTAATGCCTAGCATTCTTGAACACTACTTCAGTCGACAAGTCCCGAAAAAGAACACGGTTGGACAGGAAGGTAGTTTATATTTCAAATAAAAGTGTTGGATGAAAGAAGGAATCTCAAAAAGAAAAACGGTGGTATATTTATAATCTCTACATGAGAAGATACTAGTCTTCTCCAAGTTTACAAATGGCCATTCAGCGTACTTCAACACAATCCAACACGAAACATGCTTTAATCCAATCCATATCTCGCTAACAAATATCAACCTCGTTCGTGACTTTGATCTAAAAAAAATCTGATCTAAACTATACTAGAAACTCATTATATGTTAAAAAATTATATTTGAAATAGTCTGAACGATTGAAATTTACATAATTCCAACGTTTCGTCCAGGTAACTTGTCTAAACTTCTTCAGGGAAGAAGTCTTAAATGGCTCAGTCCAATTATTGGTGACTTCATGGACTAGTGACACGTCCTGGTTTGGCCACCCTTAGATTACTCTAATCTACCATTGAATCAGACAATTTTCCCTGTCAAGATAGGTGGTGATCGGGTATACGTAGCAAATGCTCCAACCATATCAACCGGTAAAAATTCATTACCTTATTAAACAATATACCATATTTACCTAATACACAATGCAGACTTCAACTTTATTCTTTGCGCCAACTATCCTAATAGTCCTAGTTCATTAATTGTCATTCTTGGAAACACACACACACACATACTGCTACCAATACTACTACTACTACTACTATTTCTGATGATACAAATACATTCCATAATATACTGAATTATCTACTAATTCATACATAGTTTTATGATATAATAGAAAATATTGAAAATCAATTTAAACATATCTCAATAGATGTATTCAGTCATAAAGTTAAGTGAAGTGAATTGAACTAAGGTGAGGTGAGATGTAGTGAAGTGAAATGAGTAGTATGTAATGTTCACTATTATAACAAATAAATAACTAACTAAATAAATAAATAGCTACATAAATGAGTAAACATAACAAACATAATTGAGTAGCTCAAAGAGAAAACGTTAGTTTTATGATGGATCACTCATAGATCAATCAAATAAGATATAAATGAATAAATATATAAGTAAACAAATAAATAAACCAGCTAAATAACTAATCAATATAAGTCAACGATTTAATTGAGTACTTTTAAAGTTTCAATATTATATGTGTTTTTCTTCAAACAAATCTAATTTGGTTCTCATTTCAAATCAATAAAAGAATAGCTACGTGTGAGTTGAAGTAGTTCAGTTGTGTCATATTCATTGATGAAACTTGAAGGTAATGAGTTGTCTTAGGTAGATTATATAATGAAACATTTGTGTCAATATATCTTGGTTTTAAGTATTCATCAAATTAATGTCAATTCACAAATTTCAGAACATCTAATTGTGGAAGTTAAAACAAGGTTTTTGTTTTTAGCTCTATCTTTGTTAATCTTTACTCTGATATACAATACTTCTTAAAAGGTACGATAACGTAAATAGTTATATATTGTAGTTGACATCATGAGGTTCCTGTAGACAGATCATCATTGAAAACCAGTAGGCACTAGACGATCGCTTCGTCTTAGTATAGGACTTCGGAATAGTGTACATCTACAAGCCTAACATAGATCAAGTTCGAAACCAAAAGACCTAACACCCTCCTTATAATCTTTCAATTAGTGAGTCAACAAAAAAGGTTTTGAATTAACGCCGGAACTTCTTTACACGAATGGGACACTAATTTGCCTTAGGCGAACATCTACATCAGATACCCTGTCAGTGTCTATTCTACAGGTTCAATGCAACTCAGATCAAGAATATGTGACTGACGTGACTGGAACTTGCGTATATTTCAACGGCAACAACGGACAATATTAAATAATAATATGATAGAAAACATATAACACATCTAATACTTGTCAAACCATCTACTAGTCTGACTACATAAACAACCGATCAGTATTTTTATCAGCTACCCATCAGGTTTACGTTTTTATCTTGAGTCAGCTCTCAGTAACTCTCAGTAATGAGTAATTTTAAGAAGTAATGCGTAGAGTTCTAGTAAGACACTATGGTCAATGTAGTTTAGTTATGTCGAGTTCAAGGCAGCTACACATCAATGTCACTAGATAATGATTTCCTAATATTGTAGGTTGATTCTCGTCAGAAACATCAATCATTAGGTCCCAATTGGTCATTATAAAGATTAATCTCTCGCCATGAAGTCTGAAATTCTTTGAATGGCTCATCAGTGTAAAAAACTGAAGAGTTCAATGTTCGAACGAAACAGCTGTTCAATAGATCCTGACTTTCTGTCTACAGTCAGTCCATCATGTATAACATAAACATTTAAATAATCTCTGTAAAAAAACACAACAACTAATGCTTACCAATATATTCTAACACTATGCCTTTTCCATGAATAATATATGGATCTAATAAATTTAAATTTGATGTAAACTGTAAACCATATACATTACTAATTGGACCATAAATTTGTCCAACTAAATAGGATTCATCTAATGGATATAATTTATTAGAATCTATTGAATTCAATGAAAATGATCCAGAAGCAAATGATGAATTGGTCAGTTCAGTTTCTCTCTTTGTAGTAGTTGTTTTCAGTGTGAAATTATTGATTGAACAAAAACGAATTATTGGTATATTACTAATTGTACCATCATAAACATTAGATATACGAGCATCAACGGATAAATAATCATGACTACATGCAATTCCAGGATTTGATGGACATGCCGATCCAGTAGCTAATATTAAATTGTTATTATTAATATTAATATTATTATTATTGTTTGATAATACAGATCCGAACGATGACAATGATGAAGTAGATGAGGATGATGATGAAGCGAAAGCCGATGAAATTCCATCTAAAATAGTGTAAAGGAAGAAAAACGGTACAAACAACTTAAAATGTGATGAATTGTATAGTGTTTTGTGGTTTGTATCAATCCACTTAAACCAAACTGGATTAATTCAACTATCAAAAAAAAAACAGATAAACGTGCTACTTATGTTGACAGATATAAGTAGTATGTAATACCAATAGGAAATAGAGTGCCTGACAGAAGAAGTTTGAGAATGAATTGAGAGAAAAAAACAGAAAAGAAAACGTAGAAGAATTGGAATAACAGCGGAATATGAAGAATGAAGTGTCCGTTCACTATGACCGAACATTGTGTGAGAATATTATATTGTCAATAGTATTGATTATTACTGATAGTTAACATATTCTCATCAATTGAATTAAATACATTAAACGGTTACTTTTGTTAGCCTCTACTCACATTTTGATATCGTATACTATGCAGTTTTTCTGGTTTTTCAATGCGAACATCAAGAACGTATCGAGCTGTATCGAGCTGAAACTTCGAGAACTAGCAAAACCGTCATCGAAAATGCACAAGTATTAATAAACAATTATTGACGTAAGATACTGAATGTCCGTTGGTCGGATATCATCAGCAACAGGTCTAAAATGTTACTACTGAGCCATCTATGGCAAAATTGACTAGGCGAAAACAAGATAGAGTTTTAGATAAACGTAGCAATAATAAATACTCGGTGATTAATTAACGTTGTAGTTTAGCTGGTTATGAAGCGTCTTTTATCCAATCTTCAAAATTTAATTCATCCAATGCTAGTTATTCGACCCCCTTGTATTCCTCCTACGTATACGTGATCAACCGCATCGAATGTTGATAGGATTAACAAAAATACAAAATCATACTAATTGTAACTTGGAGATATAAGGATCCAACATCATTTCGTGGAGAAGGATAATGTTGGAGAACTTAAAGTTACACTTTCTTTGAAGATCAGGATCGAAACTTCGGATTTTCAAAAAAAGGGAGGTGTTATATCCCAGAGAAGATTAAATTACGATTAACTTGCGAAACCTATTAATGGACTAACATTATCTATGTATATATTGTTATGTTATAACTATTCAGTAATCAGATCATGTATATTTATATTCTCCTTGTTGTAATCTCCATTTTGACCTATAGATTACTATTATACGATTTACTGTTCCTAAGTTATGTTCAGTTTATTGATTACAGTATGTCTGAAATAAATAATTCGCACGGTGAGAGCTGTTATTGGTGTTCCGGACCCAGCTGGATGGGCTAGACAAGCAAAGGACCAATAAGGATGCTAGGCTGATCAGACCGGTCGGACGTCATTTGCTTAGTATAGTACAAGAGTGAATAAGTCATATTTTGATTGACGAATAAATAACGTGATAATTAGCCGGACTTATTGTCACAAAAACAATAATTACAGAGCTAACAAGAAAATTACTCGCAAAAATGTTGTTTGTGATCGGCTTCAAGCAGTTGTTCTTTGGGCACTTCGATCACTCTCTCAGGTCACTAAGACCTCCTCTAACCGCATTTCCTTTTTTAGTTATATCTAGAAGAACCTTCCACAGTGTGCGAAACCGGAGTATGTAAACTGCCCTCATACCTCTTAAAGCATTCAATACCACTGTATACATAATCAATTTGTCTTCACTGTGTTGGCAATGTAGTTTACCTCACCAATACATGAAGCATGTAGGATTATCCTTCTATTCCCTTGATAATTCCCTCTTATCTGTTCTGTTTTAATAATTTCATCAACAATCTACTAAGTGTGAACACGTTTAGGTGTATCATAATTTATCTCAAACGGCTATCTGTTTAGTTAGATTATAGAAGATCAAGCTAATTCATTTATTTTGTACCGAGCGCTAATATTAGTATTACCAGTAGTGACAATAATAATAATAATAATAATATCCATAGTAAATTGTATTAGAACATTAGTCAACATGAGTTTATACTACAATACATCTGAAAATCCGGGTGTACTTGTTTTCTTTTGTTTTCAATACAAATATAAGTGAATTCAGCTTAACGTACTTATTTTACTTTCATTTATCTCATACAAATCAATCTCACCCAGATGACGATGATGATGACGGCGATGAAGAAGCACATACCCATACCCACACACACACACACACACACACATACACGAGAGATAATTGTTTTCATTTACAACCCAACACACACACACACACACCCATTTGACATAATAGACGAATTGTCTTAAAATAAGTAAAAACATGTAAACTATGTGTGACCTTAATAGATTATAATAATTATTATTTCTAATATTATAATACGTACTACTGTGGTAATATTATATCTATTATGGAATATATTTTACTGATCATAGGAAATCGATTAAGACGTTTGAGAATTGGTCATATAATAGACTCAAAAAATGCAACATATATATATATATATACTATGAGCGTTGGATAAACACAGGGGTCTTCAGAGTAAAGATTGTTGCATTCTATATAAATACTTGAGTTATATGCGCACGTATATTAATACATACACACACACACACAAACATACATTTAACCACATACATATATCCATATGTCTGTACTTCTTTTATAAAAGTGAGACCATTTTAATCGATACCTGGAGATTATCTCATATTGAATCCTATCAGTAAAAATTTACCGTCATCATATATAAAGTATTTTAGAAGAGAAAAAAATAAAAAAAATTAATTTAATCACTATGTGATTGAATGAATGAATGAATGATGAGATAATGATAAAAAGTAACGTTACTTGATGATCATATGCTTTTTTTTGTTTTCATTAATAAAAAAAGTTTTTTTTTTAATTTTTGGAAAATTATAAAATCAGAACTCATCTATTCATTTGATCATAAATAAACTGTCAATATACATATACATACATACATTCAAATATAAGAGGTCTGTTTGCTTGATTATTACAAGGCTACCTATAGTTGCCAAGTGGATATTTTAATAGGTTATCTATTTTCTTGTTTTTTTTTGTTTTCGTCTTAATAAATCATTATGCCTCTTCAGATAAGTCAGTCAGTCAGCCACAACGTAGGACCAGGCACATATATGCATCGGTCCAAGTTGACATACCTCGTTTGCACAACAAGATGAACACCGAATTCATAGAAGTAGTTAATTTGGTGGTGCTAATATATAAAAGAAAGGTTATATATCAGGATATAGTATAGGAAGGAAAAAAGTTATGAAGCAATTTCAATCTTAAGGTTTAACGGAAGATAAAGAGTGTATACGCTTACGCCATTGTGATCGATCCTGAGCCATGTCACCTAGAGTCTCTAACCATTGGTTACGATAGTCACGTGGACCCCAACCAGGTAGTCTGCATCTACCAACATGGCTCAGACTAGAAGTTATTGACTTCCTGCTCTGATGCCACGTTTTGGTTTGGCCACCCCTAACTCTATTCTAACCATCCCTAATACTAGTCAACATAGCGCGTCGTGGTAATCGGTGTTCAGGTATACGTAACACGTGGCCCAACCATCTCAGTCGATGAAGATTCATGACCTCATCAACTAATTTACCATCATTCCCTAATACCCTATGTCTAACCTCACTATTAATTACCCGGTGATCCCAGCATTCAGATAACTTTGTGAAAAGTTTACAATATTTATTTATCCCAAGAATAGATCAAGAAATAAAGGAAGGAAACTTGTAGAAATACATTGTGCTCAGAATTCTAAATTGTACCAAAAATGTAATATTGAATAAAGCTAATAATAATAATAAGAAACAAGAAGAAGAAAAAGAAGAGGAAATAAGAAGAAAGAAGAAGAGGAAGAAGAATAAGAAAAAAAGGAAAGAAAAAGAAAAAGAAGAAAGAAGAAGAAGAAAGAAGAAAAAGAGATGAAAACAAGAAGCATATTGAATATTCAATGCGTTAATATTGAATGAGTTAATATATATGAATTTGAAGTTAATTAGCAAGAATTACATGTATAATTTGGCTATTATTAATATTACTTGTTTAATTATTGCTGGAGAAATTTATTCAGTTAGTCAGTCAGTCATAACGTGGAACTTCGAATGTATATACATCAGTTCGAGATGCCATACCACATTAGCAAAGAGATGTAGTTACCGATTCAAATCCCATAGTGGTAGAAGTAGTTAGAGTATAAGCAGTAATCGGAAAGATTAAGGTTCGAAGATGTTATTCAAGAAGTTTAATCCAGTGAAATAAATTTGGATAGATAAAAAAGATATAGACATGAAGAATTCAGAAGATTAGAACTCGGTAGAATTTGTGGAGAATGTTCAACTTGTAGTTTACATCAATAACTAATTTTGTAGTTGAATAGTTATTACAATCCAGATGAAAGGGGATATTCGAAAAGCTATGATAAGAAGTCATATCTGATGGTGTTTAACAAAGTCAGATGAAAAGTATTTAAGTGATATCATGAACTGATAAATGTTAGACCACAATCGAAAACTTGGAAGTATTGAGACTCCTCAGAAGTAAGCATTCACGAATTCGAACGAGGGTTTCGAGCCTAGGATCTTTAGTCTCATGAGCGAACGCTCAACCTCTAATATTTATCAGCTCATGATCTCAATTAAAAACTCAACAATCTCCATAATACTAGAATGACAAAAGATTGGAAACATTGGGTAACATGGCTCAGAATCAGACGGTGATGGGATTTATCTTGATAATTTCATCTTGTTGCGTTGATATGGTGTGGTGATTTGAACCGGTAAACGCTTGTGCTAAGTTCCACTTCGCTTGTAACAATTTTTTGTATTAAATATGTTTGAATGAATAAAACGAATGAAATCTAAAAACCAGATAACTCACTAGTATTCGTGGTTGATTTGGTCAGACCTATATCTTTAATCCGTAATATAAATGTGGCCAAACTGCCTTTGTTCACCAGACGATCATGATTATTTTCACGATGACCACTTTCACCGTAGCTGTTAAAAGCATCATCATCATTAACTGAATATTTGGTTGCTGCAATTTTGGGCGCCGGTAAATAGAACTGATGTGGTAAATGATTTGATTCGGGATTACACATCGCCTCAGCTAAGTGACTTCTCCATTCCGAACCACTTTTTACTATTTCATTATAATCTAAGCTGATTAAATAACCGCCAATCTGTTCAGGATCCACATGATTTTCATTAGATATTCGTGTTACAAGAGCTATTTAGAAAGAGATACAACAGTTGTGAAATGAAAATATAATGATAATAATAAAATCAATAGTCCGAAAGTCAACCAGTAACAGTCAACTTAAAGCCTGGCACAAACGCTCGTTAGCCCTAGTTACCATATCACATTAGCACATCGAGACGAATAGCGAGAAAGTGAAAATAACTGCAGTAATAATGATAATGAAAATACTTAACACTGAGAACGTGGTACGAAAAGGCAGAATGAATAGTTAATGTACGAAGGAATAATGAAACCCCAGATCTATAAGAAGACAGAGTGTGGGTGCATATGTGCCATCGTGGTCAATTATTAGCCACGTCAACCGATGTCTCCAACCGCTGATCGCGGTTATTGCGTGAACTACAACCAGGTAATTTGCACCAACCAATATGACTCAAGCCAACAGCCAATAACTTCATGGATTGATACCACATTTACGTCCAGGTGTCCCTAACTTTCTTCTAAGTTATTTCTCAACGGACTAACACTTTCCACCAAGACAGATGAAGGTTAGGTACACGAAACAAATGTCTCCACCACCTCGACTGAGGAACTTATGTTTGAAGATATTATAAAGTAACAGCGAGAAAACGTAAGCTAGTAAAAATAAAACTCATAGTTCAAATAATCAATGAGTTTCGAGCCCAAAATTCTCATTAGTAGCACTCCAAACTATTAAAATCAATGACTCAGATTTGAATCTGCCAGAAAGTATCAGTTCTATCAAAATTTCAAATATGTTTCGATGATAAGTACCAACCAGACAAAAAAGTAGTGCAAGAAAAAATTTACTTAGTATTGTTTGTTTAGATCTTCCCATTGATGTTTTAGGACTGCAACTGGTCAGTCTCTAATTGGCATATATGCATACTGTGCGTATTGCCTCGATATAGCCTAAATTCACAAGCATGGTAAACAAAGATGGATAGTGAAATTCAACTCTGAGATTCAGGTACATCCAGCTGACGAGTCCCAAATAGGACAAAACGCGCGTCCTGGATTCCACTACTAGCCACTATCCATCTTTGCTCAGTATTAAACTTATACGTCATCGAAATAAGAAACAATCAATTCAATAGCTATTATTCGTTACATGTGAATGACTTCTCTTCATATGAAGAAAGTATAATAAAACCATATGATAATGATTGAGAATAATTGGCACAGTTGTTAATAAGGTATTTATAGACTTAAGTTTTAACTCATATGTTATCCAATTTTTTTAAAAAAGAAACTAACTATAAACCCTGTGCATAGCGAAATGTCACTTTCGTTTGTAAAAGTAAATTTCAGTTTATGACAATCTATGAAGTTAATGATAATGAATACTGAAAAACCTGGAATCTAATGTACACACTATTCACAATTTCTGTTACTATATATCTAGATAAATCACTTTGATCTATTCAATAAACATATGAAACGAGATTTTGATACACTTAGTGAAATCGTCCTAAAGTTCCAGTGAAGTTCAAACATGTTGAGTATTAGACAGTTACCCAGCAAATGAACTGAAAGATTTTCGCAAGACATTGTAAAATTGATTGAAGTCAAACATATAAACCACTAGATTTCAGCTCAATCATAAAAAGGTTGAGCATTCGCAACCAAGATTGAAGGTTTTGAGTTTGATACCTGGTGGTAAGGTTGGGAATGTCCACTGCTGAAGAATCCCATACTAAGACGAAACAGATGTCCATTACCTTTTGTTTTCCATTCATCGTTTAACTATGATCTTTTCATGATGCCAACCATGATATTCTATATAAATTGGTATACACAAAAATGATACATTTTTACACTTGCAAAAGGATCTTCGCTAAGTATTAAAGAAGCTGGTTTAGATTCTTCTGGTGAAATATATACCTAATATATGTCTTAAACGTTTCACCCCATGAAATGAATGAATTGTTTTTTTTTTAAAACTCAGCTATCTCAAAACTTTTAAATTTAATTTAGATCAATATTTTCATAGTTGAAATCATCAGTCAATTGAAAGTCGACCAGCGTGAAAAACCTAGAAGCACTGGACAGCCGTTTCGTCCTACTGCAGAACTACTCAGCAGTGCGCAACCATGATCCCGACCCACGAGGTTTGAACCCAGGATCTACCGGTTTCGCGCCAGAGCGCTTAAAAATTAGACCACGAAGTTGAGCAACCGTTCAGCAATTGTCTTCAATGAATTGATATCTCACAATAGACGAAAGGACCGTCCAATGCTTCCAGGTTTTCTATAGTGGTCTAGCTTCAATTGAATCATGATTTCAACTATGAAAAATACATGTCAATAAGTTGAATATACATATAATTATACGAAGGCATTATTAAATAATTACCGTTGGTAACCAGTTAAAAGCACATGAATAGAAAAATGACCATGAATTTAACCATTTCGAATAAAAGCATAAAACCTAAGGTCCGAAGGCGAAGTCGTACTGCATATTGTACAGAGGTGTGACAGCAGTAAGGTGTTTCCTTCAGACAACCAGCATAACAGCGATGCTACCTTTCCACAAGGAGGGGTGGGGTTAGAAAAGGTCGACCCAGAAAATGCACACCTTGCCTTATCCCACAGATATCCGTCTCAGGCGGTAAGGTCCCAACAAGTACGGAGCTAACACAAAAACTACCCACAAAAAAGTCGTGTGTGACTAACCTCAAGCAGTTGTCCCTTGGACACTGCGGTCACGCTCTCAGGTCATTAAGACCACTTCTAACCCAATTTCCTTTTCAGGTACCTCTAGAATAACCTTTCCACGGTGTGGGCAGCCGGGAAGTGGTAACTGCCCTCATACCTCTAACAGCACTCAAGATCACTATACTCATAATCAATCTCCTTCTTCAATTCCTAATATTCCTCCTACTTCGACCTCTATCACTAAACTTTCTCCTTCGGTTTCCTCCTCAAGTGTCACCGTGACCAACGATTCTAGTGTGCGAAACACTGTCCCAGGTCTACTAAAACCTTGCTCCAAGCACTCAAGACCACTGGTCATACGTTGTGACTGACTGACTGACTGACTATGAAGGGATACAAGTAAGTAAAATTAATAAACTATTTATCTCTTTGAACAACTAAAAGAAAAAAATGAAAAATTTAAGGTATCCTAATAAATATATGTACTATAAATTATAAGCAAATCATTTATGTTTAACGTCACATATCTCAAATATTCCGATTTAATACATGTAGGGAATAGAACAATATGATTTAAACAAAGCAATGTGATTTAAAAATTGGTTATTTTACCAACATTAATGTATATAAAACTCTATTGGTTGATACTAAAACACTACTTATTTTTAGAAATAAAAAGATAGATGCAAAACTATATAAACAGTTGAGAGAAAGTAGTTGTGGCTAAGCCATGTTCAATTCATGTAAATCAGTACAAATAATTATGACAAATTTTCTCTTTATACGCTCCATTTGGTTCATTTATTCGTAGGCTACTAGTATTCCATCATAGGTGTCTTCCAAGGAGCGCTCGTATATCCTGAGACCACCGAGTAAGTAATGCAGTTGTTAAGATGGCTGGCACACGTGTTATTTATGCCCAACCACCGACTGCCCCGACGTGCAATGTTTTATGGCAAAGGAGTAGGTTGGAAGAAATATAGGGGCGGTCAGATCAAAACATGACATAAATCCATGAAGTCACCGACAATTGAACTGAGCCATGTTGGTAGGTGTAGACTACCTGGTTGGGATTCGCGAGATGATAGCAATCGATGATTACAGACCTTGAATGCCATGGCTCAAAATCGTTTGCAATGGCGATGGTGCATTCACTCTTTGTGTTCTGCCAAATTCCAATCTTCTGAATTCTTCATGTCTCTATCTTTTTTCTCTCTCCAAATCTATTTCATTGGATTATTCTCCTTCAATAACATTTTCAAACCCTAATCTTTCACATTAATGCCCATAATTTTACTACTCCTACCACTATGGGATTTGAGTCGACAACTGTATCTGTGTTAATGTGGTATGGCAACTCGAACTGATATACGTACATAAGACGTTCTACGTTGTGACTAACTGACAACTGACTGACTAACAATATGACGTCAAAACCGCTTTTAATAATATCAACGACAGTCACTGGTCTTATTGATCAATATTGTGTCAGTTCCATGACCCAAAGCATCATTTCTATTTGTCCTTTAGGTATATGCACAACGTATGATGGGAGTTTGAGATTTCAACCATTTATAACTTCTGAAAACAAAGTTTTGTGAATCTTAATGTAGTTAAGTGACGTTTTAGCATACAAACTAATATCATCGGGGGCTATTTAGATGTACAAAGCATATCATTCATTTAAACATTAGGTAATCAAAAATAAATTTTCTACTTAATGGGCAATAGCGAATCCAAGTTGTTAGAGGTTGGTTTTATACACGTTTCTAGACTGTTTAACCTTAAGGTCAACCAAGTTTAAAAGAGGAAATATTCAGTGCTTAAACACTGCTAATAAGTAAACGTCCGAGGCTTCAATCGGGTTGGTGGATACAGATGATTAACATAGGGAAGTTAGAAAACCCTGATTCCAAATGGGTGGTTCACATGGCCTCCAGGACCCTGAGAGAAGAAAAAGCGTATGAACTTATTGTTGGCCACTGACTACCATGTGATTGCATCTCCTAACGTTGATCCACTGCCTTGTGAGTTAAACTTGTAAGTCAGAGGCTCGAGGAGTGGCATCTTAAGTAAACCAACTGTCTCGACTTAAGTGCCCGATCAGTATTCCGGCCATCACACTAACAGAATGGTCAGTGTATACTTGGTGCCTTCTTGTTCCAGCGTTTGTGTTTAAATAAATAAAAATCATGTCAATCTTCATCGGACTTCACCAATGGACCAAATTATTTCATAGATATAAGTATTCTAAATTATACCCTGGAAACATGATGAAAAGTTACCATTGAGTTAATAAGTTATTATTGATTATTGTTGATAGCTTTAGTGATTGAAAACAATTGATGGCTACTTTACAAGTTCTGAACTTGTTTCCATTTCAAATGGATAGAATAAAACTTCGTATCAGGCATTCAATCCAGGAAATTGAGTTTATTGGCGAATTAAAACGTTCCTTCTAATTACCACTTAATTAATAAGCAGTGTGATGATATAAAGAGAAAACCTGCCAAAGATATTTCTGCAAACATTATCAAAGGAATCGGAATACCTACAGCACAGAATAGTTTACAACAACCACTTGTTTATGAACGAAATAACCTGTTAAAGCAGAGATGATTATAATCACACGCTATGAAGTGTTACTAAGTAACAGGTTGAAAAGAATAGGTGTAGATACAAAAACTAGAAAAAGTCCTTAAAATATCCCCCAGTAAGTTAAGAGAGCAAAAAGACTGAGAAAAAATCAGTGAAATAAAACTCTTAACAACTCCTTTGAGCTTCTAACTACGGTTCCTACAACCTTCCAACTGAATGAATTAGTCCCATATATCCATCATGTTGGTGATAAAAACACTGGTAACCGCATACATCTATCATAGTTTAGATAATGACCAAACTTCGGATAATTTGCATGCATAGTATTGGATGTGAATGAGCCAAATTATACTAATGAAACTAATTGTAAGCAGAAAGTCAGAGGATCAACAGGGATATAAAACATTATAGCCATGAACGATACCACTTAACAATTTATTGATTGATGATATGGTCAGACACCCCTAATTTCACAGAAAAAGCCAAAAATAGAAGTTCCAAGTGCTAGATACAACTGAACAAATAATCACAAAACATACTTGTTGGAATGCAGTCATATTCTACGAACAACGTTGGCTCAGCCGCATCGTCAATTATGAAAGGACATTCTCTCGCCAACAAATCAGCAGACAAGTCGGATGAATAGTGCACTGTATTTTTACAAACAGAATGACCGGAACATCTTCTAGATATATTGGCAGTCACATCGACCCAACAATCTCGAGAATTGTGTGCACGACACCGATTGGTTGAGTTTGAAATAAGTAGAACTTCACGAAAATAACCGAAGTGAGCTTCGTGAATAATTATTGTTTTTTCAGGATCACAATGTATCTGCAGGGACTCGTTATAACATGACAATTCCCAATCTAAAATTCAAAAGTGATGTAATTGGAAAAATTGATAATTACCAGCTGAAGCTTTGAAATTGCAGATGAAGATCCATACTTGGTATGTAAAGAAAATACCAAGAAGCATACTTCATATCTTCAGAGTAGCTTTCAAACATGCATTTTGAAATCGTGCCACTACATGAACTTCATGCATAAATATTCAATTTGAGGTGGATGAACAAATGACTTGGATGTGGTTTTTAATTATATCGAAGGTATTGTCTTCATTTTGAATTCATTTGGGCAAAATATTTAGTTTGAATGATATCTTCAAAACGAGTTATTTAACACCTGTTAAAATGGTTAGTCAATAAAGTTCCAGACAATTCATTGTTTTGAAAAGTGTGCTACAATCACAAAATCCATGAAGGTAGGAACCTCTTAGAAGTTAAACTTTGATTTTTTTCTGATAATTTTCGGTTCCACGTCAAGTTCAGGGTGGTCGGTTGAAAATTATAGTTATATTAATTATATTGTAAGTAGTTGAAGTGCCGAAAATTTCCCCAAACCAGTAACACGTTCATTGGAACCTGCTTCCACTCGAACGCAATTACCTGATGTTTTCGTTTAACCTGCCCTTCCATAAATTACACACGTTTTTGTACGTCGCCATCAACTTTCACGACCTCTTGTGATTGTATACGAAGGAATCTTCAAAGTCCTTCAGCTTGAACCAACGTACTATATAACCGATAAGAACGGAACTAACGATGGCGCTGACTACATGTATTTGTGGCATCTTCTCAGTAATATTTTTGTCTTGTAATTTTTATAACAACTACATATGGCCTGTAAATTCGAATAAAAAGTACCATCAGCATGATATGCTGAATATAGAGACCAAAGTGTGACATATCGTGGCCACACACATATGACCGAATAACTCAATTTACAATGTGTTCTTGCATCGACTTTAATTTGCGTAAAGGACTTTTTATGTACTAAAGAACGTCCGTTGTAAATCTTGTTAGTGTAAATTTAATAAATTGGTCGATCATATAATTTATACGACTGATGTTATGTTAACCTCAATAAGTTTTAGTGAAGTTTGTTAATAAAAAGATGTTTCTGTACAATGTGATAAGATAATTAAGAAGTGACGTAATTTTCAACACTCCTGGTACATTTATGACTAAAAATCACTCCTTATTGTCCCATTCGATAATGATCATGTTTAACATTATATATCTGCAACAGCTCAGGTTGGTTGGTTAAGAGTTGACCCCAAACAATCAAGCATATACTAAAACAGTATTGTTCAAATATTCATTCACTTCCTTACCTTTTGTAAGCGTTATATTCACTATTATCTTATATGGAGTGTTGGGAGCCTTTGTTTGTCTGAACAGATAATCCCACGCTCCACTGTGACTGCGCGAAGATCGAAATAAAGACCTGTAACGGTAATAAAAATCATTACATGCAACATTAATAATGTGTGTTTGTATTTCTCATTGCAGGACAACAAAGAGTGAATGCACTGGAAGAAGAAGAACAAGCCCTACGCCGTCTGAACCTGCAGAATAACGAGTAAAACTACTTTGTAATAACTTTCCCCTTTTGTACTAAAAACCGCGTATTTTAATTTTAAATATATCGGCTGTACCAGCACACCGTGTTCTCACTTCAGACGCACTTGTCGGTCCTGACTGTTGTGTTGCTGTTTCAGGTCGCTCCTGCTCCCAAGTAAACGTCGAAATACAACGTGCTACAAGTGGTGATGGAGGTGTTTATGTCAAAACGCGATGAAAACTGTGGGGAACCACCGGTCATTCCAAGGAAGCCAGCAACCGGGGCAATCATCCGCCAGCCATCACTACTGTGAGTCTTATCGGACTATGCCATTTGGAAGGTCAGGATCACGACGTATCTACGTAAGGTCCCAGCTGCTGAACATTTTAACTATCTCCTGTCGTGTCTAGACGATGAAGCGGCAAAAATGGCGATTGCCAACGGTTTCACGGCAAGTAACTCGTCTGCACAAAACTGGAAGGTGCTTGATGAATGCTTTTCGCTAACAGTAGATACACAGCTGGGGACCATGCAGTTCCTGTCGCGTCACCAGAAAGCGAGTGAGGACCCCACGGAATACTTGCACTCCTTGCAGCAGGCATCAATTGTAGCCTTCCTGAGTTTAGACGTCTCTATACGGGAAGAAATAATACGCGCACGGTTCACAGAAGGCCTTTTGTCGGGTGCACTACGACAGCACCTTCTTTACATGCCGCCAAAAAACATTCAGGATTTAAGTACCACAGTTCTACGGTTCGCTGCCACAGACAAGCTATCAAACGCTGTCAATACACCGCATTTGTCAGCGAATGCTATTGAACAGCCTGAAAAAACACATCAGTCCGATTTCACTCAAATGGTTTCCGCTGTCAAACGACGCCCCGAGAGACAGCCGCTAAAAAATAATCAACGTAACCGGAAGATGGAGTGTTTTTACTGCCAACGCTTTGGCCGGAAAGCCCGAAAATGTGGGCACAATAATTTTTGGGAACAAGGTGAGACTAGATTTTCCCATTTGTCTTCGTATTATTCTGAATCAGTATATCCGATAACAATAGCTGGTAGTTTACAGGGCATACAGACTGCTATTCTACTGGACACAGGAGCCTCAGTATCCATTGTGAGAGAAGGGTTTTTAAGCACACTGAATCGCATAAGCCGACAAAAATCATGTTTCTCCACACTAAAAACAGCCGGTGGTGACCTTCTGGAAGTACGGTCTAAGGTGTGGTTGGGGGTAACAGTGAATAAACACTCATTCCTACACGAATTTTTAATATGCCACACACTCACCTGGGATGTCATACTTGAAGTTGACTTTATGTTAAAATACGACGTCGTTATCCATGTAGCTAAGGCGGAAGCTCGAAGCGGAGAAGTAACCATTCCGACACATTGCCTTAAGAACGCAACTAAGTCGGTAGCTGACGTAGGGGTGTCGGAAGTCATACACCAGGTACAAACTAATAAACAAGTAACAGAGGATGTCCGTCGATCAACTATTTCCTTACTTCAAAAATTTAGTTCTGTTTTCTCGGAGAATATCTCTGGTAATCGGACGACCACGGTAGAACACTCTATTCCCACAGGTGATCATATGCCATTACGTCAACCGCCTCGTAGAGTGCCAGTACACTATCAACCACAGCTGGATAAGATGATTAGGGATATGCTTGACAAGAACATTATAGTACCGTCATCATCCACCTGGGCATCACCTATCGTCCTGGTTAAAAAGAAAGATTCCTCTCTGCGACTCTGCATAGACTATCGACGCCTTAACGCTATAACTAAGCGTGACTCTTTTCTTCTTCCGAGAATCGATTCTATATTCGACGCTGTGGGTGGCGCATGTTGGTTTTCAACGTTAGACCTAGCATCAGGGTACTGGCAGGTGGAAGTCAGACCACAAGATAGAAAGAAAACCGCATTTGTAGTGCCAAATGGTTTATACGAATTCCAAGTAATGCCTTTCGGTCTAACGAACGCCCCAGCTACCTTCAAAAGATTAATGCAAACAGTTTTACAAGATATAGTACCTCATAAATGTTTTATTTATCTCGATGACATTATTGTGTATGGTAGCACACCCGAGCAACATAATGCTAATCTGAAAGCAGTTCTCCATCGCCTTCAACAACACAACCTAAAAGTAAAACCGTCCAAATGTCACCTGCTGCAGAAAGAAGTAGTTTTCTTAGGACATCGTATTACTGCAGATGGAGTAGGCACCGATAAAGAAAAGACACGTGTCATTGTTAATTGGCCACAGCCCAAATCACCTGAAGACGTTCGTAGCTTTTTGGCCTAGCTTCTTACTACAGGCGCTTTGTCCGTGACTTTGCATCGTTAGCAGCACCCTTACACCGTTTGACGCACAAAGGACGAAAATTTTTATGGACTACAGAGTGTCAACAGGCGTTTGATGCTTTGAAGACACGACTAAGCTCTCCACCTATATTAGCCGTTCCGAATACCTCAGCAAGCGGGGGAGAATTTATACTTGATACGGATGCCAGTTCCTCCGCTATTGGAGCAGTTCTATCGCAAGTGGCCCCAGATGGGCAAGAAAGAGTAATTGCGTACGCTAGCCGTCGACTGGATAAGAGCGAAACAAGATATTCGACAACGCGTCGAGAGATGTTAGCATTAGTAAAATTCTTACAACATTTCCGCCATTATTTACTAAGTAAACCTTTCCGTGTACGCACAGACCACCGTGCATTACAATGGCTCCGCTCCTTCCGCGAACCAGAAGGCCAAGTGGCACGCTCGCAAGAGCGACTACAGGAGTTTGATTTTACTTGCGAATACCGACCAGGCGGCCATCACACAAACGCCGACTCCCTGTCCCGTATACCCTATGCTCCTAGTACCATTAGTGCTGTCCTTAGCACAGCCCCAGAGATCGACTGGTCGTCTCTTCAAGCATCAGACCCCGACCTGCAGTTCATTTACCTACGACAACTACACGGAAACGATAAACCTTCTACGGCAGAGTTAAAGGATCATTCCCCAGCGACGCGCTGTCTTTGTACCAAGTGGAGTAGCCTGAGATTGTCTGGGGACGCACTATTTATAGTCAGCGAGTCAAAACAACCACTGTTGATAGTACCACGTGTGCAAGTTCAAAATATTATGGAGCAGGTGCATCGAGAACTCGGGCACTCGGGGAAACGGAAAACTGAACATACGATCTGCCAGAGGTTTTGGTGGCCATCCATCCATGAAGACGTGACTGAATTCTGCGAAAATTGCAGCACGTGCCATGCCATCAAGTCACCTCAGCAAAGACCCCGTGCACCGTTAGTCCCAATGACCACAGAAGGTCCACATCAACGAGTCGGTATCGATATCATGGGCCACTTACAACATCAAAGAACGGAAACTGTTATATACTGGTGATGGTGGACTATTTTAGCAAATGGTGTGAAGCCGTCCCAATACCTCAACAAGATGCCCTCACGGTCGCTCGAGCTTTCATTGATAATTGGGTCTCCCGTTATGGCGCTCCATTCTCACTCCATTCCGATCAAGGTACAGCTTTTGAAAGCCATCTCGTCGCTCAGGTATGCCGATTATTGGGTATCCGCAAAACACATACCACTGCA